GGCAGCCAGATCAAAGAAATGCAGAATGGTGTGGACAGTCTTTGTGTGAACTGACACTGGATATTGGCTGACAATGCAGTAACACCGATCAAAATCTTTCCTCCCTTGGTTCACTGCTTCTTGAAGAATAGAAAATGGTTGAAAATGACAAGAAGTCTCACTGTCCCGCCCAAAGGACATGGGTTAAAATGTGTGTTTTCAAAGGCAGGCTTAAAATGAACATACATTCACAGACAGACTCAATATACCTATAATTTTGCTCACTGATCTTACTAACAAAAATCTGTTTGCTGAAATTCCTGCCATTTTAAAAAGACATCATGTGCCCTGTTGGCCCACTGTGTGTGTTACATCAGACATCATCATGAGTTTTCCTGTTATTTTTAGCGACTTTTTACACAATTCTCTGTCTGTATTATTATAATTTCTTAAGTTTTAACAATCATACAGACTTAATCGACAATTGAGAGACAAATTCAGTGTTTTCTTCTCATTGTTTTATGAGATCTTTGGTTGCTTTAACTGCATGCTTTTCTATGGCAAGATGAGGCTGTGTGAATACAGCTTGTATTCAGGTCTTCAAAGTTTACATCTCACATAAAAATCTAAACTTCACACATTACAATTTCCTTTTCACAGAAATTAACAAAACGCTATGACCTACTATACTGCCTGCTGTGTAAGTTTTCTTACACCCCTTAAAATCAAGAAGGCCTTGCAACCCCCGGGTTAGGAACCACTGGCCTAAACCAAAACAGAAAAATTTACCATTTGGGGCACACTGTCACATTACAGTAGAACAAGACCTTGGAAGCACAGGTGGAAACATCTCAGCTGGGACAGGAACTTTGACTTGGCTGTAGTGCAACCATAATGTGACGTGGCAAAAAGCAACCTCTTCATTTATTTCAGTCAGACCACAGCTCTGTCAAAGTCTGGGTTCTGACGCTGAGGTTCCTGCAAAAAACCAGAGGAACAACCAGCAACATTATAAAAAAGATATATAAAACTTGTGCAATCGCACATTCCAGTAGCTTGTAACATGAAGAGAGTGATTCCACTGTTCACCTGTGATTGTTGAGACAGAGGATGAAATGACACTCATAGATCTGTTACTCACACTGGCATTCCTACATCGTCTCTCCAGTACCTGAAACAGCTCACCCCCACTAACACAGCCCTTTGCATTGTTTTAACACTGTGGTTTAAATACCCAGAAACACAGCTGTCTCCACTGGGCCCCATTTTGCAAAGAAGAATCTGCCAAATTCACATAATCCCTCTTTAAAACATCTGTGTCTGCCATAATTCCTTCCTCCAGGTGTGAATTTCTGACAACACAGCTCATGATCAGGAACATAAGGTTAAGGTAGGAGAACCACGGTGCATTTTAAGGTCATGTCATATCTGTTGAAATGTAAATGAATATGCTCCTCCACATATCTACAAGTGTTAATCTCTTCTGCGTTACAGCCTCTCACTAATCCAGGTATGCAGTTTCATTCACTTGAGTGTTAAAATGTTAAAACGTGTTGAATAAACTGACAGGCAGCAGGAGTGTAAGGCTGGGGTCAGAAATCAGTCTTGGAGAGCTGCTTTGTCTATTGGAGTGTGAGAGACAAGAACCTGTGGTTCACTTTTACTGGGAGCAAACCTCAGCCAGCCAAATGGAGGTATGCTGCACAGACACACACACACACACACACACACACACACACACACACACACACACACACACAGCCAGCTGTTGTTAGCAAGCCCTGAAAGAGTTCACGTTGGCGAAGACACAGCAGGAGCCTGTGACCTCCACACACAGTGATCTGATGGTGGAATTAACATTTCAGGGCTGTATGTTCTGGCAGAGCCTCAACCCATTCTGAATTTATCATTATTTGCATTATAAAAAGCAACTTGTAGTGGCAGATTCTACCCATTTTGTTACTATTACTATTATAAAATACTCTCTGTTTTATTTGTAAGCTTTCTCTGAGGCACCTATAGCTACCCCAGTACAACCAGAGCGTGATCTGAGCTGCTCCACTGCTGCAGTTGGAGGTTACATGCCTTGCTCAAAGGCAGCTCAGTGGTGCTTATGAGGGAGGGGTACTCTCTTTCTCTACCCTGACTTATCTTGCTGGTTGGGGATCCAGTCACAGGCCCTCTTTCCACCCTTTAGAACTGCGCTGCAGCCTCTTGGATGATTGAGGCCTTGCATTCATACTGGGCATCCTGCTGTGGTTATAATACAGTACAGCTCTCCCAGTCACAGTTGTGCACGGTGAAGCAGTGCCTGTGGCCCAACCCTGTTTGCAGGTACATGGTGGACGTCTGTGGTGCTACTGGTTTGTGGCTCAGCCTCAGACAGGGAGGAGCAGCAGGAAGCTGCCTGCTGTCGCCACACACGATTTATGATGCCTAGTCTCACTTTGAAAACCAGCTTCTGTTTGTACACACTGCCTGCTGCAACCAGTCACACACACATTCACAGAGGGAGATGCATCTGTGATCGGAGTAAATCATTGTGCCACCAGCAACACACACACACACACACACACACACACACAAAAAGTATACAGACTTTCTTTGTATATTTGTTTAATCCCTTGACGCAGACCTCAGGCAGTCTTCAGCAGCATTGTTCCAAAAGGTGGCTTCTCTACCAGGTTCTAACGTTTTTTTTTTTTACAGAGCTGGGGAAAAACTTTCTCCTTGGAATGATTGCAGAATATCTAGTCTCCTTGGAAGAATGTGAAGCCAAGTAAAAAGTCCATGACTAAGAATTCCCTATTCATTGTCCATTCCCTGTCCATTGTGTTTTATTTCTATTGAAACTCAAACTGATGTGCTGTCTCCCTTGGAAAAGAGATTTCAATCTCAAGGGACTTCTTGGTTCAATAAATGTTAAATCATAAAAAAAAAAAAAAAAAAATGAATATGAAATATCTGCTATCAGTACTTTCTGTCAAAAGAATATACCTTTTTAATACTGCATAATAATACAACTATATAAATACTGGTGTGAAACATATTAAGTGACCTATGACTGAACTTCCTCTAGCTGTACTTTGACAGAGAGGGCACACACACATGCACCCATGCGCACACACACACACACACACACAAACACACACATTGGAGCTGTTGTGGTTTGAAAACAAGCAGTCAGCAAATAATGAATCCTGTTAAAAAGCCATTAATACTGAGAGAGATAGGAAGGTCAAAACTGATAGGCAGACAGAAAGAAAGAAAGAAAGAAAGAAAGAAAGAAAGAAAGAAAGAAAGAAAGAAAGTGGGAGCAGCAGAAAATAGAAAGTAGAAAGAAAATAAAATTAAGGAGCAACTGACAGAGACAAACAGAGAGAAAACAAAGACAGAGAGGAGGAATAAGAGAAAGAGAGGAGTGACCTCTATCTGAACTCACTGGTGAACTTCTGCCTCAGTGTACTCCAGTTAACCTGTCACATACACACACATACACACTGTGCCAGGAGGGACAGTTTCAGCTTATATAATGGAAAGCAGGAGGATAATATGTGTGTTTCCAGTTCAGCTTCGGAAGTTTGAATGGGAGCTGATCCCAGCATTAGTCATGTCAGCACTGGTTCATCTCTCTCTCTCTCTCTCTTTCACACACACACACTCACACATACATACACACACACACACACACACACCAATGCACAAGCACACATATGCACAACACCACAAACGTGACCTCCAGTTTTTCAAAGTAAACACGTCACCACAGAACAACAGGCAGGCCGAGTGTCTATCACTGCCTGAATGATGTTATTTTAACTCAAAGAAAGTCAATGACGAAGTTTAACTCTGAACCTCATAGAAAAATAAATAAATAAAGATTATATATCCCAAGTAGTTCTTGTTTGCAGATGCAATAGAGCATTGGTGATAAGGACTGACCGAGCTTATCTCGACACAGAGCTCAGGACATTCAATAACAGTGTTTCCATTTATTTCTATAATATCATATTATAACTATACTGCCTATACTACAGTAGGTAACTTTAATAAAATAAGATTTAGTCATATTTGCTTGAACTTTCACTATATCCTGACAGTATTACAGATAATCTGTGAAAAAACCAGGTTCCTCTGGCTCCTCCTAGTGCTCCTAGGGGTATTTGCAAGAATCCACTGGGCCTGAATGAAAAACAGTCAGAGCAGAGAAAGATAGAAAGATGCTTTAGGTTGGTAGCTTGAAGATAGTTGAGTCTCATTCCCAGGGCCAGTATTTGGCAATCTGGGAATGTCTGCTTTCTACTTTATTTTGTCACTTTGTCAACTGAACAAGGACACTCTAGGAGGTGTGAAAGATTGGTAAAATTTGGGCAAAAGAAGGCTGCTTTGATAGGTTGAACTGGCTTTCAATCACGATCAAGATCTTGGAGATGCATCAGCAAGTATGATATGTGTGACTTTAGAGAATTGATTTTAATTTTGTTTTCTCTTTCTCTATCAGTTCTACAGGTTGTTGTGTCTCAGAACCTGGTGGAAGAAAAAGTTACCTGAAACACGAATAACGTGGTATAACAGCACCACCTAGTGGTGATGATCACACAGTCAAAGTCACACAAACATGCTCATGCACAGATTCACCTTTTTACCTAGATATTTATATTTTCTTTTTACTAAATTGGATGGATGTGCTTCCCATAGTTACAAGTTTGTTTTATGACGCTGACCTGGTCGTGCACTTCGTGCATTTATGTGTGTAAAATCTACCTCTTTGTATTTATAGGATGTTGTTTTGTTTGATTTGGGACATAAAAACAGTAAATAGAGCTGGATTTGATGACCTCTCTGTGACTGCATCCATGGGCTGAAAAGCTTTCCCCTTTCTGGTTAATTAATTGTCAATTTACTTTCACCATTCAATATACTAAATGAAACAAATAATGTGTAAACCATAATAAGTGTCTTAGTCATCAAGAGAGAGGGAATCCAGTCTGAGCTCCAGCATCCAACACACAACAACAAACTTTTGATAAATCCATTTTAATGGAAAATGTAAAACCCTTTTAAACTTCAATGTACAAAGCATGTAACACTTGCACTTTAAAATTTGAAATTGAAGCAAGCCATGTTTTAAAAAAATACCTCAGTGAATGTATATATGTATATATTTACACATTATAGTAAACTTTTTCATTATTTCATCTTTTACCTTCAAAAGTTCACCATAGTAAATCTTAACAAAACAAAAAAACAAGACAATTCATTCTTTTCTTAAATAAATTACATCTTTTTTGTAAATGTCTCAATTTTACAGCAAATACTTTTTTCATAAAATGCTGAAGTGTATAAGCCATTTTGTTCTTTCTTTACATAATACAACTTTACACAGTCTTTACAATAGTTTGGCAGTTCATTTTCAAAAAATGTATTTATGGCATGAGGACTGTAGAGCATTAACATTTCCCAAAGTTACAGGCATTAGCTGGTGTGTGTGTGTGTGTGTGTGTGTGTGTGTCGCGCGCATGTTTGTGTCCTCCATCACAGTAGAGCCGTATTACAACTGAAAATCACATAACAAAAGGGAAAAAAAGAAACTGTACAAGTCACATTTACATAATGCTTTTTTGTCTCAATAACATCGCATATCATAGAGCTATAAAATAAATACATCTTCACAGAGGAAATAAAACAACTTTTGTTAAAAAAAATATGAAGAACAAAACAGCAACAGACAGATAGAACTAGAAAAAAAGGACAAGAACAGACAAATTACAGAAGAAACAACAAACGAGGGAGCAGCAGAGCTCGCTGTCTGCTGACTAGAACATCTGAGATTTATGTTTTGCATTTTTTCCCCTCAAATCTTTTTTCGTGACTTTTTTAAACAGCAGAGATGACAGTTTTGATCCTGATGCTGCTTGCTGCTGGTGATGCTGTCGTGATCAGCAAAATCTTCGGTCCGAGACGTTGTGTGGGCTGCTGCTACAGACAGGGATTAAACCTCCTGGCCTTCATAATCCACAGCAGATTACAGTGAGAGCAGGCATCGTCACTGCCATTAAACCTGTGAACTTTATTTTACAGCACAGTCTCTAAACAGGATGCACCGTTAGTCACACAGCAGTTTAGTTTCAGTGGAGGCTTGTATTGCTGTTTCACTCCAGCATAGTGGCTTTTATAAGGCTCCCAACCAACATGCTGCCCTGTGTTTCCCAGAATTCCTCTGTCCTCCCTGTGCGCTAAGTCCATGTAACATAAAGGGAGTGTGGTGGTTGAGGTTAATCCCTGTCAGTCCAGTGGCCTCTCTGGTCTTGTGTGTGTCTCCTCTTGGCACTGAAGGTTTAGGAGATGATGGCGCCTCTCACTGGCTGCCTGGATGTGTGATACAGTTCACACAGCGAGGTGCCCACGTCCCACAGTCCTCCACGAGAGGAGGAGATGGGTGTGGGGAGGGCGAGGAGGTGCTGATGGGAGTTGTGTCCCTCTCTGGAGGGCGCGGACAAGGCTGACAGGGTGTCATGAATTGTCTTCCTCGTTGTCTTCCTCGGAACTGCCCCTCTTCAGAGCGCTCACCGCCTCCTTCACACAGTGGTACAGGATGTTCTTCACCTGAGGATGAGGAGCGTCATTAGTAATGCCAGTTTTATTGCTCAAAGCTTGTTTTTAATACCTCGAAGTTATAGTTTATTATTTTGCATTACTTTTTGTTTTTAATTTTCAGTTCAGGTTCAGTCAGTTTCCAGAGTGGTTTCACTTAAGTTTTTATTGTTTAAAAATGTTTTTATTAGTTTCGGTGTTAGTTTTAGTTTTTTTAGGGGAAGATTACATTGACAGTGATGCGGACATCCCAGTCTCAATAAACAGATATAGATATAACTATATTAACCATGTCCTAAACTGACTCACAACTCAAGTCTGTCTTAAAACAATAGACAAGGTACACTGAAACAGGTTTTGCTTGCTGTAAATGTTCCTCCTGTTCATACTGGACATTAAAAGATCCCTGTCTAATGCACATCGAATGTAAGTGATGGCAGAGGTTAACCCTATAACACAGTATGATTAGGTATGGAAAACATGTTGAATATGGAGTCACTTCCAAATTAATAAGAACCAGGGATTCATTAGGAAACAATTATTTTTCATTTTTACATCACTAGTAACTAGTAGGCTTCTGCAGGTTTCAACGGGTTAAATTTAAGACTTTTTAAGAACATTACGGATGCAATTTAAGACCTTCTTTTACATGCATACTGTCCAATAAAGTATGAAGGATATGAAGGAAAAACTGTATTGGTTCCATGTCAGTTGCATTTTGTATTAGCATCATCAAGACAGATTTTTCCAAAAATCACATTGAAAGGAGAGACTTAAAAATTTAACTTTACGCAAGACCTGTGAAAATCATATTTAGGCATTTTCAATTTAGACCATTGTATTTTTAGACTTTAAAAGGCCAAAATGTAAGCACTATAAAATAGTTTCATGCACATGATAATTTTGTAGTTATAATGATACAGGATGGATTTGTGCACATTTGGGTGGACAGCTGAGATAAAACATGATTCTTTAAGTGTTCCTCAATTACCCTCCACTCATTGTAGAGCTGCACAATTAGTATTTTGATAATCGATTAATCATTTTCTTTTGTAATATAAAATGTCCAAATTGATTTCAGTTTCTCAAATGTAAATATTTTCTGCTTTCTTTAGTCCTCTATGACAGTAAACTGAATATCTTTGGGTTGTGGACAAAACAAGACATTTTAGGATGTCACCTGTATTGGAAAAATGATTTATCAATAGTGAAATTTCTGCCTTTTAACATGCAGTTTTTCCTTGCCCTTGTCGCCAAGGTCTTGCTCATGGTGGTACTGTTGGGTCTCTGTAAATAATGTTATGACGAGTTCGGTCTAGACCTGCTCTATTTTGAAAAGTGTCCTGAGATACTGACTTCTGTTATGAATTGGCGCTATACAAATAAAATTGAATTGAAAACAATCGTTAATAAAGAATAAATGTACTTATTGCGGAGTAAAACCAAACAGAGCTGATCTCTAGTTTTTTCTACCCAGCAGACAGACAGAAGACGGATGGTGACTCACACCTCATTTATAATCCTACCTATGGGAGAATAAATGTGTGTGAGTGCATTTAGAGCAGAGGGACTCAATGTCCAGAAAACATCACTGATGATGACTCACTCTGCCATTCTGTCTGCCCTTATTTTATACTCTCTCTCACACACAAAAACAAAAACACGCACGCACGCACAGATTGACAGCCAATAACACAGCTGCACTCCCACACTAACACTACTGATGTGTGAAGTGTGAGAGGGAATCTTGGCAGGATCTCAACACTCTTATTACTTTATTAATTTAAAAAGATTCACCACCTGTAGTTTATCCTCGTAGTTGACTTCCTCTTTAGTGGGCCGCAGCTCCTGGGTCAGGTGGAAGGAGTTGGCCACATGCTCAGGAGACACAAAGTCATTGATGACCTGAACACAGCTGTGGAGATTCTGGACCTGAGAGAAAGGATGGAGACAGGAGGTGAGGACACAAAAGCTATATGAATGACAGAAACTGAAGGGTGCAACTTTAACAATGTAACATTGTGTGCAAAACAGGTATAAAACCATGGATTAGAGCATTGCCAGGTTGTACAGAATCACACCAAGAAAACTAAAATATGTGCTATATGAAAATATATCAGAAATTTAAAATTCCTTCAAAATAAATAACTGAAAACTACAGTAAATATGTGATTTGTGGCATCTCATGGTGCACAAGTGTCAAAAACTCTTAATCTTAAATATAATTTAAAGAAATGTTACTCTGTATTTTTCTTATTTTCAATCCCATCAAAAGGCTAAAACCAACAATGTGCTAGTCCATCTCTTAGTCCTTTCTGACTATCTGTCTGTGGCTATCAAAGATGTAAATCTTTTAACAAAACCTCACAAATATATAGTTTTTATAAAAATCAATGTATTCTTTTAAAAAGGCCCAACAATTTCCTTAAAGAACTGGTCAGTGTAATTTTTAAGAAGCATTTTTATCAGTGGATTAATCCACAATTGGTGCTGTGTGGGACTGAGTCAAAATAATCTATAGTGTAAAAAGTTTCCAAAGACACAAAATACGCAGGACTGATTGTCAGTACTGATAAAGTGTGTTTTTCTAATTTGGTAATATTTTCATGGTTTTGGCAATCACTTAGCATCAACATAACTTCTTTACAAAAGCCCTCAGACAGATTTTAAAGTCAGGTTCAAACTTTAAACCACTGACAGAAACGTGTCAGTGAGGTGGGAAGCTTTAAATTATAAGAGCTGATCTGTGTGAATACTGTATACCTGGTGCATGGCCCCTGCTGGTATAAGTACAGAGTCTCCCAGGAACTGAACTACAGTCCAGCCCTGAACTCCATGTTCATCCAGCAGCCGCTGACGCTGCTTCCTGCTCAGGTACAAGCCCTGCTCTCTGACTGGGTCCTGGTCCAGCAACACGTCCATACCCTGCTCCTTACAGAGCTGAGGTGGAGAGTGGGGGAAGAGGGAGGTGTTAGCAGGATCAATATTAGTACTGAAGTGCATGTTGTTCACTATGTTTATCAGAGTGCTGACCTTGTGCAGGAACTCTCGGACCTTGTCCATGTCTCTATTGAGGTAGATGTGCCACAGCGCCCCCGGTGTCTCACTGGAGTCTTTGAGCCTCCTCCGAACCCCCTCATCTAGATCCTCCTCCTCCAGACGCTTTAAAACTCCTACACACAGACACACACTCATGTTTCTAAAGCTGCATTTAATTACTTTAATTATTTCAATAATAGATTGATTTTAGTTTTTTCCAACTGATTAAATAATCTTTCTCTCACTATTTAGTCTTTTAGTCAGTCAAAATACTTCTATCCAACATCTATCACTAGTTTTGCTCTTAAGCTACTCAGTTAATAATTACTTTGAAAACAAAGCAGATCTTCACATAATAATCAAAGTTTAGGCTTGGTACATGGGGCACCAGCTCTACCAGGTGAGCTATCATGGTGCCCCATGTTTAGGGTTTTTGCTGAATAAATCACCTAACTGGTTACATTTCTCTGAAAACATTGTTTATACATGATGTATAATGTTTTCGAAGGCTGAAAAACTGAGATATCCAGGAATAAACTGAGAAGTGATTTCAATTTTGGTATCTAGTTAGCACTGTGTTTTTGCGTGTCCATTTTGTATCAATATCTCATTTATCTTTCATTAAGGACCACTGTGGTTACAGTTTTCCTTAAGCATCCACTTTTCTGTTTCTCCGATCAAAGTGTACTGTGAATTTAATAGACAATAAACAAATATAAACAAGATATTCAAGTGAGGAGAGGACTGTAATACAGAGGCGTACACACCTAAAGCAGTAGCTTGAAAGAGTGTTTCCCTCGGGATAAATAAAGTATCTATCTATCTATCTATCTATCTATCTATCTATCTATCTATCTATCTATCTATCTATCTAAATATCAGTGTTTCAGTCATCTTTTTGAAGAGAGGTATTTGGATATTTCCGAGGACAACAAGTGCTGATTGTCAGTGTGTGTCTGTGAATAAGATTATAGAATGCAGTGGTCACTCTGAGGGCTGACATCGGTATTAAGCTGCAGTGCTTCCAGCATCGACCCCACTGTCCTAGGCTACTCAAGATTAAGAGTGTGACACCTTTCTCTCAACCCAGTCTCCTGCCTTTATTTATTTGTGCACACTAATTGAGAATACTTTGATGTTAGTCCACAAAGCCTTTAAATTAATTATTTCACTGACTCTAGTAACACTCACCAGTTTTGGAAAGCACTCCATTGCCTTTGGCCACTCCTACATAGACCAGAATAGAGACGACATCTGAGACTTCCACATGGAGGTTGGCAGTCCCAAAGTCCTGGTCCTGAGATGCAGCTACACCTACAGGGAGACAAACAACTGATTCATAAAAGGAAGGGCAGAGGGAGATTCTGTTAAAAGTCCAGCATATAGGATTTAGTGGCATGGTAAATGGACCTGTACTTGTTCAGGGCCTTTCTAGTCTTCAGACCACTCAAAGCGCTTTTACACTACATGCCACATTCACCCTTTCACAGAACAGAAACTAATGCATTCATACACATTCACACACCGATGCACATCATCAGGAGCAATTCAGGGTCCAGTATCTTGCTCAAGGCAGTAGGCTTTGACACGTGGCAGGAGGAGCCAGGGATCGAACCAACAACCATTCAAGTAGTAGACAACCCGCTCTGCCACTGAGCCATAGCCGCTAGTGCATCTAGTGGTAAGATTGTAGCAACCAACTCAGACCTGTTCACTCAACTAAGTGCTAAGGAGAAACTACGGTGGCTGTGAAAGGCCCTATCTAGAGCCAGTGTTTGTCCGCTCTGAGCTACTGTAGAAACATGGTGGTTCAACATAGTGGGGTAGAAGAGGACCCTCTGTAGATAAGGTAATGAAAACACAACAATACTTTTTGTCACATTATTATACACTAATGAAAACCTATCTATGAATATTATATTGAATTCCTGCCAATAGATCCTCCTTAATGTTACACACAGGACCTTTAAGTGGAAATATAGCAAGAAAAGGAAGATAAAACTATGGACTGTGACATTAAAACTGTGCATAATGCAAGTAGTAAAGCAGAAAATGTTCTATACTCAATATTAAGTGGAATCTTTGGTGCCAAGACAATTATCAGTCATTCTTAACAACATATATATACAGGGAGAAACACACATTTGAAGAAAACAATTATTAAATAGTTCAAACTGCATATAGATCAAAGCTGGAATTCAGATGTCAGTCAGGGGCAGATGTATTAGTCAAGCTAGATTTCATTAAACACTAGTTAAGCTCCAAAATCTCAAATCTTTTATTTCCTTGCTAATTTTTTTGAGCATTCATGTTGAAATAATTAAGATCAAAAGACTAATGTTTTCAGGCGACATGGAATGATTGCTATTTCCCTTTAGGAATTTCCTTCCTACCGTAGGCACAGCATAGTCTTGGCCCCAGATCTGGCCTGACAAAGAAAGACGGTAGGTGGGAGGCCAGGTTGAGGTTACCCTCTGGATCTGAGTACTCAGGCAGGGGCAGGTTCTTCATCAAGTCATCATATCTGCAAAAACACTTCTTTTAGATGGGCTTATAATGCATCTTCAGACTTATCATAATTTATTAGAAAATTAGGTTTGCATTTATATTTTGGATTGTAAAGCTTGAGATTAAACAGCACAAGACTGTAGTGACAAAGAGGTGAAGTGTGTGTACCTTGAGGGCATGAGGGCCATGAACTCCTCTCCAGATGGCCAGTCCTTCAGTCTGTAGACCATGGGCTCTCCATCCTTGGACTTGGGCCGCTCTGAACAGGTAAGAAGATTTTAGTTGGACTGAATAATCTTTTATCACTGCTTTCTCAGTAGTTCATGGTGATGTGTCTAAGCAGCTATCTAATCAATCAATCAAACAAAGTGATGATGAACTCACTGGTGATGTCCTCAAATCCATCCCAGAACTCCTTGATCCCGGAGTTGGACACCACCTGGTCTTTACAGTTGAGGAGGTCTCCCTGGTGGTCTGCAAACTCCTGGTTGAAGGATTCGGCTTTCCACAGACTGGCATTAAGTCGCTTATGAATCCCTGACACTAACACAGGCTGGACAAACACAGAACCATTCATATCAACGTTATTATCACTAACTACTATTAGTACAGCACTCTTACTATGACTGCTTACTAGACTGCTGTGTACCTGTCCTTGTTTCCAGCACTCTCTGAACAGCTTCCAGTTGTTCTGGTTGCGGTGATCTTTGAGCCACAGTAAGCGTTTGTTGTTTAACCAGCAGTGGGAAATATCTGGATACTGATTGGTTGATTCTTCTGGTACTTCTGCAGTAACAGGCCCTGACTTCTTCCTGTCTGGTTTGGTGTCCTCTGTCACAACAGGGGCAGGGTTGTTGTTGTTGTTGTTGTTGCCTGGGGTGACAGGCTCTTGTTTGATTGACAGTTTGGTGGTGATGTTCTGGCGGCTGGCGGGGATTTTATTCTCAACTACTGAGGCTATGATGTCATCAAGGATATTAGGCATTGTCCGCCCACCTTTTCCAGTCTTTAGGAAGAAAAGAGAAAAACAGGACTTTAGTATTTTAAACCAGATTTCTTTGTCAATTAATTGGCATCGACAAAACAAGGTGGTACAACAGGAAATTATATTTTAATAATATAATATTTTAATTATTATATATTATACGTCCAATAATGTTTAACCCTTGATTACATCATAGATGTGTCAATCTGTGTACCTGTGAAGCATTAGAGTAGACTGGTGCAAAGGCGATTCCTGCATCAGTGGAGCCAAGCTTCAGCTTCCCTGCTGTGGTGGTGAGCAGATCTCTGAGTGTGGAGCCCTGCTCTGTACTGTTAGCCACCAGTGAGGTGGTTTTACACTGCTGCAGGACCTCCAGGCTGTCCCCGTCCTTGTCTTCCTTCACTGATTTACCCAGCAGCAATGACTCCTTGTTTTCTGTTACAGAAAGAGGAGGAGGGGAAAAGTGGTTACTAATCACAGACACATTTTCTGCAGGTAAAACACACAAAAGAGAACAGGATCTTTTGGAGGAAATCATTAAAAAAAGCACTGACTGATTGCAACTGTACTTATTCTTTTCAACAAAACAGCACGATCCCCTTTCCCTCACCTTTTTTCTCCTCCCTGGATTTTTGCTCTGCCAAGTCAGCCAGGAAGTGTAGAGGTGACTGGGACTCTGGTGGGGTGACAGGAGCACTTCCTGCATCGCTGCCGGGGCTGCTTCCTCCGCCACCTCCTCTGTTAGTTTTTGCCTTGGTTCCTCCTTGGTCAGAGTTCTGCTGAGAGCCCAGCTCAGCTTTCACCAGGGACAGCTTGTTACTGTGGTTCAGGACATTCTGCAGAACCTGGCAGAGAAAGGTTAGAATTAAATCTTAGCACCACACCAACAGGGTCAGCCTATTGTAAAAATTGGCAATTGCGCCTTTGTAAAAGAAAATCAGACAGAGAGGGTGAAAAAAGCTCTCTAAACAGTGATGCAGTTCAAACTTAATAAAAGGCTGAATCTATAACTTCTAAGTAGTGGTTGTGTGCATCCATAACCACCAGGTAGCCTCTGGAAGGCATCTAAGCCAGGTGGTGCTCATTGAAACAGTCCACTCGTACAATTATACCACGATGACACAGGTGCTTATCATGAACTTTAAGAGCAAAGAGCAAATAAATAAAAGGTTATTCATTAAAAGTTATTCCTGGTGCATTTTAGGATTACTCTTTTGATTGACAGTTTTACCCTGTTGGTTGACTAAAAGGCTAAAACTGAAACAACCTGCCATTTGTTCTATTTAGGACCTAGTATCACTCTAATAGCGTCCACTGTGGCCCCTCTACAAATCAACATTAGGGTGTCTATGGCAGCATTTATAGGGAATTGTAAACAATATATTAGTTCATTATAAAAACAATAATAATTGTGAGACACAGTATTCCAGCCCAGCAGCTGAAACAGTACCTGTGAGACTCCGTTGGTGGCTGGTAGTTTGGTAAGGAGGTTCTGTTTGTTGGTGCAGGGGCAGTGCGATCTGATGTTGTATTTTTCTCTCAGAGAGTGCATGGAAGTCACTAAGTCTGTCAGCACTGAAAACATGAAGCAGAATTGAAACATTTCAAGAAAGTAAAATTAGGAGGAGTAGAACATAGTCTTCATACCCAATGCACCTCTTACACTCGAACATGTTATATTTTGTTGTGTTTTATTTACATTTATTATTGTCTGTATATGTGTTTTAAACAACCTGTGAAGCCAGGCTAATTTCCACATTTGACAATAAAGATTGTTTTTATCATTATTAATAAAATGTAACATAATACAGTCAGTAATTAATACCCAAACTACATGACACAAAAGTCCAAAAATATCAATCAATCTTTAACCCACATCAGCCACACACTCTACTAGACAAAGCAGCTACAGTAGGAGAAGATAAGGAGGGCTGTGGAATGCAGACACAGTGTACAGGAAGACATAGAGAGTGTAGTGTGTACTGTACCTGTGCCAGGTATGATCTGTGTTGGCATCAGGTGTTTGTGATCGTGGGGTTGGCCTTTCACACACTTCAGCCAACCATATAGTTCTTTATCTGATCACAGAGAGAGAGAGAGAGAGAGAGAGAGAGAGAGAGAGAGAGAGAGAGAGAGAGAGAGAGAGAGAGAGAGAGAGAGAGAGAGAGAACACACACAGACACAGACACAGACACACACACACACACACACAGACACAGACACAGACACACACACACACACACACACACACACACAGAGAGAGAGAGAGAGAGAGAGAGAGACAGACAGACAGAGGTTAGTTGCTGTAATAATACCCACCCAGAAAAATGTCAATGCCCCTGTCTAGAGCCAGTGTTAGGTTTGTCCCTTCTGGGCTACTGTAGAAACGTGGCGTTTTCACATGGTGGAATTCACAAAAGGCCTGTAGAACTGTAGTGCTAAGGTAACGAAAACACAACAATTCCTATATTCAGCTAATTATACACTAATGAAAACATACCTATATATGTATATGTATATATATACATGATGATCGTCAAATACACATTGGGTGTGTTTCCCCCTGGATATGTATGTTGTTAAGAATGATTGATAATTGTCTTGGCACCAAAGACTCCACTTAATATTAAGTAGAGAACATTTTCTGCTTTACTACTTGCATTATGCACAGTTTTAATGTCACAGTCCATAGTTTTATCTTCCTTTTGTCCATATATTTCCACTTAAAGGTCCTGTGTGTAACATTAAGGAGGATCTATTGGCAGAAATTCAATATAATATTCATAGATATGTTTTCATTAGTGTATAATAACGTATAGATAATAACAATAGATCCTCCTAAATGTTACACACGGGACATTTAAATTCAAATCAATGGTTTTTCAACTTTTAGTAAATTATTTAACTGACTGAAGAAGCTTGCATACACTAATGCACACATGCACAACCATGTTATTTGGAGAAAGGTTAAGCAGGAAATTGTATTATTTCTGTGATATGCGAGAATCCTTGTTAGGAGAATGTTTGTCTAACTGTCAAAACATACACACAACTAACCTTTGGAGCTCCTTCTTTCCTTTGCCTTGTAGCAGTCCAAGCAGACAACAAAACCACATTTCTGACAGACCCAGTGGATATTGAAGAGTGTTGCCTCGCAGGCGTCACACATCTCCCTCACCCCCCTCACTGCTCTCTTCCACGCAAGCTTGGCTGAAACACGCAAAAAATGACATCACTGTAAAAACATGGTTAGGGTTATTTAATCAAAACATCAGCCAAAGACATTTAAATACAACTTACCATCCTTCTTGACCCAGGTAGCTGCAGTATTTTCAGTCACAGACATCTGACAGAACTTGTCTCCTATGAAGCTGAGGATGTACTTGGCTGTGGTTTGATCCAGGTGGCTCTCCTCCATCACCCCAGGGACCCACAGGGCCAGTGCTTCATCATCAAACTGGTCTGGAGTGGAGAAACCATCCACCCGGATGACTCCATTTTTACTGTAGGAAAGCCTGGATGGAAGGAAACAGGTCACTAGCACCAGTCCGGTAAGTGTATCAAAAGTAGATCAGTAATGATTAGCATCTTCCATTGGGGACATCCGGATAATAAATTGATTAACTTGGACTTGAACAGCATGACAGAGACCACTGAAAGCACTGTTTAAATCGCAATTGGACTAGGCAAGAACTCGCAGTGCTGCTAAATTAGAAAAGCTAATATTGCCACACACCTCATTGTAATTCCAGCTAGTAACTAACATATTCTGCTGTCAGAAAGGGAGATAAAAAGTAATCACTAAGTTCTGGGTGTTGCTGCTGAGTTAACCACTTACATCACCACTATGAAGTTGTCAGATTAATATCTGACAAAAAAAATGGACTTAACTAAAGCTTAAACACAGAAAGAAATGCACATTATTCATTTTTGGACCCAATTTTGTGGGGAGATGTGACGGGGGGACAACAGAAATTAAAATCTTGTAGCTATTGGAATTCACAAAGAGTGCGAACAGTTTGAACAATCCTTGCTGATGCACATTCAAACACTTACATTACAGCAGCTAAAGGATTCCTTGTGGTGAACTGTTATAAATATATTTTCCTACTTTGTAATTCTCACCAGTACAACACTTATGTGTCAGATAGTAGGGTATATGCATTCATATGTTGTATAAATAAGAGGATGGTTTTCTAGATGAGCCATCTCTCTGTAAACCCCCACTATCTATGGTGTCCTTAAACAACCAAGTCAGCTCAGGTGAATGTATATGAAATCCCAGTCTACTGGGTCAGACAGGGAGGAGGTGAGATAGGGTCAGAGAGAGTGCGAGAGAGGAAGAATTAGAAATGGATTTGCGGAGAAGGGGAGGGGGGAACACAGAAAGACTGCAGCAGCAGCAGTTCTGCAGCGAGGAAAAGATTATAGAGCAGAAAATCCTCTTTAGCAGATTTACCCTGTTAGACCCCAGACTGCAGCTGCTGTTGATGCTTATCTAAGTGTGTGTGTGTGTGTGTTCAAGGTGGATGCACAGTAAATGTGTTTGAGAGAAACACAGACAGAGGCAGTACACACATACACGTACACACAGTGTGTATGATTAATAATGGACTGTATATGTTGTAGATAGGGAAGGATGTTTCTTGAAAACAGACCTTCCTTCCTCTCCTGTCCCCTATCTTTCTGTGTTATTCCATTTGACATGAAGTCTCCTAAACAAGAACATTTGGGTGAAAGTAACAGTTTGACAATGTTTCATGGAGTATGTGTTTGAGGAGGAATTGAGGGTTCATTGGGGTCTGTCCGAGGTTTCTGCCTCTTAAAAGGAAGTTTTTCCTTGCCGCCGCCGCCAAGTGCTTGCTCATGGTGGTACTGTTGGGTCTCTGTAAATAATTTTATAAGGAGTTCGGTCTAGACCTGCTCTATTTTGAAAAGTGTCCTGAGATAAATTCTGTTATGATTTGGCGCTATACAAATAAAATTGAATTGAATTGAGTTATTGTAGTAGCATTTATGTGGGGTTTCAGGATCCCACAGGATCTTTAAGAACACTGCATGTAGGTGCAATTCCCAATGTAGTCATGTCCAGCAGTTACAGTAAAGGAAACTGTAAGGAGAATGGAAACTTAATTTAATGTGAGTTTTACCGTCTGAAATAGTAGAAGCGACAGAAGACGGGGGAATGTGCCGGCTCCTCGCCCTTCTTGCTGCGAACCACCCTGCACTCCCGACACTTCTGCAGGTTGGGTCCTATTTCTGAACACGAGTCATCCTGCAGGAAAGATTCTCCCGTCTGCTTCAGCTTCTTCACCTTCCTCCAGTCCTTCAGGACGGAGCGGGGGATCCCATCTGAGAAGTGTGCCCATTATTAAGTCATTACCAGTAACTACATTTTATTATGGGATTGATAAAAAAAATGCTCATTACCATAAGGAGGTCTCAATAAATAAGCTGGTTCTTTGCTTTGCTTCACAAGCAATAAATATTAACTGATTGCTTCAAACAGAGCTTGTCGCCCAAATAAAAAGCCACATATTTGACCCCTGCATCAGGTCAAATGTTGAAAAAAAAAACAAACACACATTCTCTCTCTCATTCTGGCTGCTGGGGAGACAATTTAAAAAAAGATTCTTAGTGCTACAGTAAATATGTTAAATAAGACTTACTGCTGCTGGCCAGCTTGAGTTTAGTCTTCTCTCGAGCTGATCTGAAGATGCCATTGGGTTTTACATCATCTTCCTCCTTTTCATTGTCTCCTTTCTTCTTGGCCATATCATTCTGTTTTTTCTTGTAGGTTGGTTTAGGCTGACGCTTAGCTCGGCCCTCCATTTTGCTCTCACTGGCGTCAGAGTCATCTCCCGCACTCTCCGAACCAGACTCATATGTTCGTTTGTTCCCTCGCCTTGATGAAGGTGCTGTTTTCCTCTCCTCTCCTCCTCCTGCTCCTGCTGCTGCTCCTCCCACCTTCTCCTCTGGGTGCCTCTCTCTCTCAGCTTTGCTTCCACTGTCTTTGCTCATCTCCACCTCACTGGAAGTGGAGGCGCTGAGATTGACTGTGCAGGGCTTGATCATTTCTGACATGGCTGCTGTGTTACTGGTGCTAGTGGTGGTGCTGGGCACTTTCTCTGGTTTAGAACTAGTGGAGCTCAGAGTAGCAGTTGTGTTCCTGTCCTCCTCTGAGTGCCGGGTTAACCAGGCTTTCTTCAGCTTGTGGTAGTTATTAGGCTGCCCGCTGCTTGCAGAGGCTGAACCAGAGGTATGGCCGTTAGGCAGGGGACTGGACTTGCCTGGCGTTGTGCTCCCGCTTGCCGAGCTGCTGTTACCGCTGTCAACTGAGGATGATGAGGCTTGGCTGGAGGAGGGTGGTGGGGGCGAGTTGTGGATGGGAGTTTTGTCAACTGAATCCACAGTAAGGGAGGAGTTTCCAGCTGTGATGGATGTGCGAGCAGTGGAGAAGTTGCTTCTGGACTGGGCTGCGGCCAATGCAGCTTTGTGCTTCTTAAGGTGGACAAAAGAAGAGGAGTAAGGCTGGCTGGAGCCGGACATGGAGCTAGGTGTTGGGGTGAGGCATGGACTGGGCTGGGGTGTCCCTGCTGGACTAGGGGGAGGCAGAGACCCACCTGGAGATGTGGTGCATGAGCCTAATCCCTCCTGATGTTCTCCTGGTCCTAAGTGGCTCAGTACCCTGCCCCCAATGCCAGTTTTATGGGCTGAAATCTCTCCTTGTGCTGAGACTGAGTAGCCCAGCTCAGGGATTGATGTCCCACTTTTAATCTGTATGCCAAAAGCTGAAACGGCTGTCCTGCACACAGAGTTTATGGTACCGGCTCCTATAGTTCCCTGCATGCCACGCATAGTCTTTTTATACTGGACACACATATCATCCAGGTTGGAGTTGGGTTGGATAACCCTGCCAGCTCCAGGTTCTCTAACACTCTCCCCTAGTCTACATTCCCCCTGAACCTTGGAGGGGTAGAACCCTCCTTGGGGAAACTCCTTATGGATCATAGCACCATATTTGTTAGCACCAACGGGACTGTCATACTTTATAGATGTCGATGGACGTACAATGACTGATGCCATTGCGGATTGGGGCTTGCCCCTTGGCGCTCCTTTCTCTCCAGAGAATGAGCCTCCTCTTTCCTGAATCATTCCTCCACCTCTCCAACCGTCTGCAGATGAAGTCATAATCTCCCCACTGATGGCCGAGACCACAGAGGTGACAGCGGCAGTGTTTCCATGACCTTTAATGTCCCTGAGTTCTGGCAGCAGTGTGGGGGGCTTCTGCTGCTCTGCTAATGTCTTGTTACCAGCTGCTGCTAAGCTAACTGGCTGGATGGGTGTGAGCGTGGGTGGAGACAGGCGTCCATAACCTGCTCTCTCCCTCTCTCTTTCTCTTTCCTTCTCCCGCTCTGCAGCCTCTTTGCGCTCCAATGCGTGCTGTGTGGGTGGATGGAAGACAGGCGCTCGGTGGAGAGATGGCATTGCCCTGAGCTGGTGTTGTTGCTGCTGTTGGTGGTGGTGGTGGTGGTGATGATGATGGTGGTTGGGGGCTGAGGAGAAAGAGGAAGATGAAGAGGATGAAGGAGAAATGGCAGGGCTACGGCGTTCTATCCTGTCCATACCTGCATGGTGCTGATGTTGCTGTTGGACTAGTGTCACCTGCTGGCTGAGCTGCTCTGTGATTTTCCCTGCTAAACCCTCTCCCCCCTCTGGCTGGTGCTTAATGAGGGGAGGGGGCTTGGAGAGAGAGGCTTTGGAGCTGTAGCTGCCCAGGGACAGAGCCCCCTGGCTTGGCACAGACGCCCCGACACTGGCCACAACCCCTGGACCTCCAGCAGACACTTTCTCATAATAAGAGCTGAGCTCCTTGGAAGGGTAAAGTCTTGGAGGCTCGTTCACTACACTGTTGGACAGTGTGGTGAAATAATTGCTCTTTTCTGACTGGATGACATGGGGATGGGTGTGGCCGGCCTTGGGGCTTGGGGAGGCGAGAGCCGGTATCCGGACAGCGAAGGCTGGGTCTCTACTTCTCTCTCTGTCCCTGTCCATCCCTGGGTCACTGGAGCGCTGGATCTTAGCAGTAAAGGGAGCGACCTCGATGCTCTCTTTGAGGATTTGACGATTCTCCTCTTTGTATTTACTGGCTCGGTCTGCTGCCTGAACTGCATCCTGCGAAGGAAAAGCAAACACTTAAGTATTGATTTTCCAATTTTCAGAGAAACAGATTGCAGCAATCACCAATACTGACATACAATAACGCAACATTAAAGATAGCAGAAGTAAATTTGATGCACGTGTATATGCACATGTATGTATCAAATGCATGGTTGCATTTAATTCAAGTAGGTGTGGTTATTTTCACGCATTTAATTTTTATGATTTTTTATAGCAGTAGTTTTTATTGTAACCTTGTGAGGCAGCTGAACTTGTAAAACAGCTGTCTATGAGGAACCACTGGCAGCTATCGGAGTGGTTTAACACACGATGTGTGTGAGAAGTGACTGCTCGAAAACAACAATGGCGGCTGCTAAAGCGGTTAGCGTAGATGCTGCTAGCATCAGTTATATGGAGAGTATTTCTTCATGGAAAGAAGAGCAAAGAACGGCACTGAAGGCTTTTTCTCCATTGAAGAGATGTTTTCTCTCTTCTCCCGAATGGCTTCGGTAAGAGTTTGACTACAGTATATTCATTGATCAGATTGAAGTTTAAAGTTCCTCCAATAATTTCATTTTAAGTATAAAAATATCCTTCCTACATAGCTGAACATTAATTCTAATACTACTGCAACTCAGATGGTTGCCATGGCACCGCTACGAGTGGCAGCTTTTTTATATTCGCATTTGTGCCTTGTCACATCTGATCAACTTCTATCCTATAGATATGGATATTTATTAATTATATATTTATATATTATTAAACTCATTTATTGGAGAAATCAACTTCTCAGCTGAAGACAAAGTCCTGGGCCAGTGTGGTTCCCCATTTGAATTTCCCCATTGTGGGACAAATACAGGAATATCTTATCTTATCTTGTGAGGAGGTGAGGAGACCCTATCATGGCTGCAGAGCCGGCGCAAAGCTAAAGGCCAAGCGACTGGCGAATAATGGCAATATAAACCCTCGGTACCGTCGGTGATCATGGGAAATGTGAACTCACTGCCGAATGAGATCGACGAACTGGCTACGCTGGTGAAAAATCTTAAAATCTACAGGGAGTGCAGTTTGCTGTGCTTCACTGAAACATGGCTAACAGCTAACGTTAGATAGATGAGTTGAGCCATAGACATGTCTATGAGTTGAGCTACCTGGCTTCAGCACAGTCAGGGCGGACAGAGACACTAATGCTTGTGGGAAGCGGAAAGGAGGCGGACTAGATGTAACACAAGGTGGTGTAACCCTGGGCATGTGAACATCAAGATTTCCATCTGCAACAGGGACGTCGCACTGCTTGCGGTAGGTTTGCGACACTTCTACTTGCCCAGACAGTTTGGATACACCATTGTGGTTATTGTTTACATTCCACCACGTGCCGACGCGGTAGTCGCGTGTGACGTCATCCACTCCGCTGTAGCGAGACTACAAACACAGCACCCCGAGGCTCCGGTGTTAATCTCTGGGGACTTTAATCACGTGACTCTGGACACAGTTTCTTCACTGTGTTTGGCACAGAGCTGGACAGCCTGACATCTGTGGCAGGCTCCTGTCAATCACTAACAATCCACTGGATCCACTGCACAGCACCATCTACAGGCAGAAGAGCAGCTTTAGGGATAGGCTGCTGTCACTGTCCTGCTCCACTGACAGACTAAGGAGATCGTTCCTCCCCCACACCATGAGGCTCTTCAACTCCACCCAGGGGAGGCTAACCGACTCCAACTCCAATATGTTTGCCCTGTATCAAACTATACCACCAGACGTAGTGCACCCTGCATTTTGTGACCACCTACTTCTGCTTTCTTCCAGTATGTGGACTGTTACACCAGGGGAAATAAGACTACTGACCTACTGTATGCAAATGTTAAGGACGCATACAGCACCACCCCTCTGCCTGCACTGGGGAAAGCTGATCACAACCTGATTCTGCTTCAGCCTCACTACAAACCAAGAGTGAGGAGACAACCCACAACAATGCGCTCATTCAGGAAGTGTTCTTTTGAGGAAGAGCAGGCTCTAAGAGACTGTTTTGGTAGTACAGACTGGGATGTACTGCAGGGTTCACACTGAGGACGTCGAGGAGGCTGTTGACTGCACACTGACTACATCAACCTCTGTATGGATGTTGTTGTTCCTGTAAGAACTGTGCGCTGCTCTGCAAACTGTAGTATACAATTTGATGCATGTTGGTGAATATTATATGCTGGAAATCAAGTAATCACACAAAATGCTGGAAATTATGTTGTAAGCACTACGTTTTTAATCACACAGAATATTATAATTAGAGTCAAAGAGCACTAGGTTTAAGTAAAGATGATGTTATGAGAGCACACTGTTAATGAAGTAGTAAGCACCATGGTCTTAGTGAAAGTTTGATTAAATGGTTTGATTTAATGTGTAGAAGAATATTGAATGTATAGTTGTAGCAGGAAACAAGTAATGTTTGTACTAAAAGTACGTGAATGATTGTAACACAAGCTCCTTGTCACATTATAAAGTTTATAAAGGTTTTAAAAATACAGTGAAAGGCATCCATGACATAATGGTGTAAGAATATGGTAACAAAAGGTTTTAAAAAATAGAAGTATGACAACTTAAATTTTAATGGTGTAATCTCGGTGAGAGAGAAGAAAAAGACGATGTCAAGGCCTACTGGTGTGGGCCGTGAAGCCTGCAGGGTTTTTTTGATAAGAGCACAGGCTCAGGGACAGCTGCAGGGTGGCTAAGTTGGAAACAGGTAAGACACCAGTAGAGTGGAGAGACCACGGATTTGGTGGGGGTGCCCAGGCAATTCCAGGGCATCTCCAGGGTGTTATCATTATGTTATGGATTAGCACAAGTTGAGAACAGGGCAGGACCTATGACAATGTTGTATAACCCTGAAGAGTATAAAAGGAGATGTTCTGGCATGAAAATTCAGTCTGTCCATGGATGACTCGGGTTTTGTTTTTCTGCAAAGGGAATAAAGCTCTACTTCTACTGCCAACCTGGATGAATCCTGGCTGTTATTTTTTCCATCTAAAGGAAATATTATTGTACCTAATTTGGACTTAAAATTTTCCATTTAAAGGATAATATTATTGGACCTAATTTGGACTTAAAATTTGAGATATATATAATCTTCTGATCAGAGAAAAACCTGTTTTACTGAGACCCAACAAAACAACAAGCCCTGGATTATGAGTCAAGTCAAGGGCCTTCTTAACCAGAAGAAGAGGGCCTTTAAAGACAGGGATCAGCAGGAGCTTAGACGCGTACAGAGGGAATTCAGAGTCCTGCTCAGGGAAGCGAAGGAGCAGTACAGAAGGAAGCTGGAGCAGAAACTGCAGAACAACAGCATGAAGGAGGTGTGGGATGGGATGAAGGCCATCACCGGCTGCAGCTCAAAGCGGGGGGCCCACATGGAGGGAGATGCGGAGAGAGTGACCCTGATGAACCAGTTCTTCAGCAGGTTTGACCACCCCATCCCGTTCACACTTCAGGTCACCATACCCCCTTCTGCTGCTCCCCTCAGGAGCCACAGAGGAGCTGGTTGTCCCACCCACTGTTACGGCAGCCCAGGTGTGTGGAGAGCTGAGGAGGCTTCGTCCCAGCAAAGCAGCAGGTCCAGATGGAGTATCCCCTCGACTTCTGAAGGCCTGTGCGTTGGAGCTGGGACTCCCCCTACAGCACATCTTCAACCTGAGCCTGGAACAGGGGAGGGTCCCCAGACAGTGGAAGACATCCTGCATCATCCCAAAGAGACCACACCCTGGTGAGCTAAATGACTTCAGACCGGTCGCCCTGACATCACATGTGATGAAGATCATGGAACAGCTGCTGCTACACCGCCTGAGGCCACAGGTCCGCCACGCCCTTGACCCACTGCAGTTTGCGTACCAGGAGAAGGTGGGAGTAGAGGATGCCATTGTGTACTTGCTGCACAGATCCCTTTCTCACCTGGATAGGGGAAACGGTGCTGTGAGAATTACATTTCTGGACTTCTCCAGCGCCTTCAATACCATCCAGCCTCGCCTTCTGGAAAGAAACTGAGACATGGGAGTAGACTCACATCTGGTGGCATGGATAACGGACTACCTAACAGACAGACCCCAGTATGTGCGACTGAGGGACTGCAGGTCTGACATTGTGGTCAGCAGCACAGGAGCGCCGCAAGGGACCGTGCTCTCTCCGGTCCTGTTCACCCTGTACACGGCGGACTTCAAATACAACTCAAGAGTACTGTCAGGTGCAAAAGTTCACCGAGGACACGGCTATTGTGGGCTGTATCAGGAGTGACCAGGAGGAGGTGTACAGGAAACTCATTCAGGACTTTGTCACATGGTTTGACTCCAACCACCTGCACCTCAGCACCACCAAGACCAAGGAGACGGTGGTTGACCTCAGAAGGCCCAGGGCTCACCCGGAACCTGTGACCATCAACGGTGACCGTGTGGAGTTGGTACGGACTTACAAATACCTGGGAGTACACCTGGATGATAGGCTGGACTGGACTGCCAACACAGACGCCCTGTGCACAAGAGGTCAGAGCCGATTATACTTCCTCAGAAGGCTGGCGTCCTTCAACATCTGCAAAAAACTGCTGCAGGTGTTCTATCAGACTGTTGTGGCGCCCTCTTCTATGCAGTAGTGTGCTGGGGAGGCAGCATTAAGAAGAAGGACACCTCCTGTCTGGACAAACTAGTGAGGAAGGCGGGCTCTGTGTTGGGCACAGAGCTGGACAGCCTGACATCTGTGGCAGAGCGACAGGTGCTGAACAGGCTCCTGTCAATCATGGACAATCCACTGCATCCACTGCACAGCACCATTTACAGGCAGAGGAGCAGCTTCAGCGACAGGCTGCTGTCACTGTCCTGCTCCACTGAAAGACTAAAGAGATCGTTCCTTCCCCACGCCATGAGGCTCTTCAACTCCACCCAGGGGAGGTAAACCGACTCCAACTCCAATATGTTTGCCCTGTATCAAACTATACCACCAGACGTAGTGCACCCTGTATTTTGTGACCACCTACTTAGGCACCTTAGGCCTTTCAAGCACTGGATTTGACCATGCACCTTAGGACACTCACCCAATGCTCGTTATTTTTATTTTATTTTATTTTATTATTTTATTTTATTGGTTCTTTTGCATTTTTTCTCCTGTTATTGTTGTTATTATTGTTATTGTTATTATTATCAGTCTGTGGATACTGCTGGAAACTGTGAATTTCCCCTTGGGGATGAATAAAGTATCTAATCTAATCTAATCTAATCTAATCTAATCTAATCTAATCTACTAACAATGACAATAATGAAGCTGATAATATTCATAGTGGAGTAGTGTACCTGTGTATTTGCCAGACGAGCCTTGCTGTGGGGGTCTAGGTAGAGGCGGTGTAGGGGGACTTCTTTCCCTGTGGGGGTTCGACTCCTGTCTGTCTGGTCCTGTTTCAGCTGGGCCAACGTCAACGTCCTGATTGGGTCCACAAGAAAACAAAAGTGTGGATGAATAAAAAGTCAAACTACTACTTTGGTAATAGACAGGTTTGGGCCATTTGTGGGGTGTCATGGTATAACTGCCTTTTCACCAGCTTTGAATGAACATGATGTAACTGGGCTGATGAGAGAGGCCAGTGATATGTGATGTTTCCTCTTAGTACTGTGTGTTTGTGTGTAAGGGTATTCAGTGGTGTCTAAATAATCGTTACATAAGGAATAGCACAGGCGGCTGAATGAACAGCATTCGGTCTAAACCGCTTGAATATTGGATTATTGCCATTTCATCTGACTGACCTGGCATTGCCTGTCTGCATCTCAGGGCTAACTTAGCTCTCTTGCTTCTCTGTGTGGGCTTCACACTGCTGTTCAAACGTACAAAGCAAAGATTCTGTGCCCCCCTGTCTCCTGCACTCTTCCTTTCAATCAGGTTCCAAAGAGCTTCCTTTATTAGTGAGTGCTTGGTGTTGCACTGATGGTACATTCTTAATTTAAGTCAATCCAGCATCTTGGAGAACTTCACGTTACTGATCTTTCTACTCACTCTTTATGAATGTCCACACTAGCCTTTGAAAGTGGAGGGCTTGTGTGTGTGTTGATCTTGACAGGAGGGCGGTGGGCGTCGGCGCTGGCTGGTCGAACAGGAACATGGCTCAGCAAACCCAGACTGTCACCAGCACTACCAGCAGCCTGGTGCAGCCATGGACTGGCTGTGTTCTGCACACAGACAAATACATCAATACAATGATAAAATGAAAAATACACAGAAAAAATTATCATACACGTCACATCACAAATAATGCTAATGCAACAAATGCAACCACACATGGTCAAACTAAAGAGTGTAACCATAAATTACACATACGTACTCTCATACATGTCTTGGACACTAATTTAGTAATCATCTAATTTGTATGAGGTGTGGTATAAATGGTATAAGAGAGATAATCCACTTATTACTTGATTATACTTAACTGCAGAGACGGCTGGTATATATGGGCTAACAGGGCTAAGCCCCCCCTATCTTTCACAGTAAAGATGAAAAACTATTATTAAAAACCTTAGAACATATTGTTTTGAATTTTGGTAGAACCTAGAGCAGTAACAGCACCAAACTGTGACAGAAAAAGCCCAGGATATATGTTATATCTTGGGTTTTTTCTGTGAATGGGCTTAATTTTTACAGCCAAGCACGGAAGCATAAGCTTCGATTCAATTTTGATTGACAGGTGTTGTGACACACCCCCTTCATATGCTGCCCATTTGGGCTAAATTCATTCATCCCAAAGGCCAGTGACCTTTGACCAATCACAGCGCAGTAGCTACAGTACAGTGACCGTTGACCAATCACAGCGCAGTAGCTACAGTACAGTGACCTTTGACCAATCACAGCGCAGTAGCTACAGTACAGTGACCGTTGACCAATCACAGCGCAGTAGCTACAGTACAGTGACCTTTGACCAATCACAGCGCAGTAGCTACAGTACAATGACCCTCGACTAATCACAATGCAGTAGCCACTGTAGAGTGAGGCTAGTTCGTAGTAGAACATGGAGAGAGGGAAGTGAGCAACAGTAGTAATGGCGGGCGTTAGCATGAACATGAACGAGGTGGATTATTTACTTTCTAATCAATTTACTTTAAAGTCTTTGGAGGAAAAATTGGAAGTACAGAGATTGGGGACACATCAACCAAACGATGTTCGAATAACACAAAAGAACAAACGACAAAATCGTAATTTTGTGTTACATGGTTTCAGCGAACGGACTGGCTAACAGCAAGTGTAGCTAGGAATTCACTTTTCTGTTTCCCATGTTTGCTGTTTGGAGGAGACACGGCTTGGACCCAACAAGGAATTGCGGATTTAAGACATTTATCCGACAAAATTAGGAAACATGAATGCAGCACGAGCCACCTTGGAAATAGCGTAAAGTTGTCATTGCTGGGTAAAGTGAACAATGCTTGTCAGCTCAATGAGGGTCACCGCACCGCTGTACAGAGACACAACGAGCGGGTAAAAAAAAAAACAGGCATTCACTATCACGGACTGTGGACTGTATTAAAATCTCTTTTTTAGTCAATTAGCCGATCACCTGTCAAACACACAGGTTGCCAAGTACACGTCTAAGACCACAGATTCTCTCAAAGCGAGACAGGGCCTGGAGAATTTTTCGTGCTCCATATCTGAACTGCTGACCACAGATGACAATCAGCCACATCCAGATGCGGACACCGCTGCAGTTGCTGCAACGCCGCGCAGGAAGCGGCGCTCTGATAATGTGTCAGTAGCCGTACAGTGCTGTGACATAATGGTCGAGCAGTCAAAGGCTCGCTTTGAGAAAGCCAGGCACAATCTTCAGAGCACTTTTTTCTGAAACACTGAAAGTAACACAAATAGCCATCACAACCCCCATGACATCTGCAGAGTCAGAGAGGTGTTTCAGTATACTGAAGCGGATCCTTTCTAAGAAGTACAAATGGACAGGACAGGCTAAACAGACTGGCTACGCTGCCCATTGAGAGGGACTTCATCCAAAAACCACCAGACTTTAATCACATGTGATTTACCTGTTTGCGTCCCAGGAATGCCGTCGATGTGAGCTGCTTTTTAAATAAGGTATGCCCAAGCTCTGAAACAACTCGTTGTCTTTTACAAATACTGTTATTTTTGCTTTGGTTTTGTAGATAGTTTTGTTTTTAGTACATGGAGTTGCAAATTGTTGCTGGTACTTTTCTTTAATGTTGTAATGCAATTGGCATGTGCTTATGTGTAAAGAGGAGAGAGATTTTTTTGGCATCAGGCCATTCATTTCGGTATGTCTCCACAGTGTTGCCGTAGAGCACTTGCTATAACAAAGTATACAATGTTGTTGCTGTAACTTGATGTGATGCTACTGTTGCTGCTGTGTGACATAGTGATGAGTGTAATGCATTTGTTAGCCCACCCACCCAAAATCACCACCAGCCATCACTGCTTAACTGTATATGTATGTAAGTATGTAAAATAACACCAAATGGATGCCTAAAACCCCCCAATATGTTCTTTTCTAATAAACACAGCTTGTTGTATATTATCTCTATTATAGCAAATATGGAGTGTTTATAAAGGTGGCTCTACATCGTAATCAATAACAGGACAGACCTAATGTTCTGTTACATCCTGTAAGAGTCAACTACCACTCACTATTATGAAATGTCATCACATACAGCTTTTATATCAAAGCTCATCGAAAAAGCATTATATTCATTAATTGTGTAGGTGTACTAGTCCTTTAAAAGCCCAGCTACATCTTATAAGGTCTCAGGGGTTTGTGTTTGGGCCAAAATCTCCTTTCTCCCTCCATCCTCACTGTTCACTTTGTTCCAAGACAAGTCAATGAAGAGACAATCAGATGTGCATGTACAATTCCTCCAAGGCACAGACAAACACCTACCCTCCTGAGAGAGGCCTCGGAATTCACGGTGACAGGATTTTCAGGGTGGACCCACTTAGCTGTAGGGGGCAGGTTGAGCCCTGTGGGGTAGGAGGTTGGTGTTCCATTGGGGTACTGCCAGAGGATGGGGTACAGACCAAGCCCTGCTGCCCCACTGTGAGCCTGGGCTAGTAGAGGGGGTGGAGGGGGACCTTGACCCTAAAAAAAAGACACAGTTTTAGCTTGTTTTGGTTTCGAAAGAATGGTGTAAATAACTTTCAGCTTCAAACTTGGATAAATTGAGAGGGGAGGTAACATTATTCCCCTCTCATCCCCATCTGCCCCCAGAGCTGGATTTAAATGGTGTCTGTGTACCTGTAGGAACTGCTGCTGGTGTACGTCTGCTGGATGATGCAGGCCGAGGTGGCCCAACCCGCTGGGGGAGTCAAGCCGAGGGTGGCCTCCGAGGAGAGAGGCTGCCGGAGGAGGCATTGCCGGGAGCACCCCGTGGGGTAAAAGGTGCGGGTGAGGTAGGGCAGAGGTGTGAGGAGGGGCAAGGAGGTGAGAGGCAGCGTGAGGGTGGGATGTGGGGTTGAGGCAGGGGGAGTGAGGGGAGGGGGAGTGGAGGGTGTGCAGGTGGGAATGGAGATAGGCTGCAACGTGGTTGGAGGAGACGGTGGCTGAAGCAGAGTTCTCTGTGTCTGAGCGGACCAGTGCTGGGTCTCTGTAAACAGTGAAGGTCTCATTCTTATCGATGATCAGGGGGCTCTTTGTGCTGCTGCTGCTCGTGCTGGCGCTGCCTGACTCCAACCGCACCGGCTTGAAACCAGACCGTGAAGGTTCTGCTATTTCTATTTTAGCAGACAAACGGCCTGCTGGAGGTGGGGAGGTATCACAGTATCTCGGTATTTTATGTTTAGAGACCTCTGGGGAAGTGTTGGGTTTAGGTTTGGAGATGTCCAGCAGGCTCGGGTGGGGTTTAGCCTTGAGTAGGTCAGCTGGGTTTGTGTTGGGGTAGGGATGGCATTGAGAGTTATTAGGGTGTTGGAGTTTCTGTTTCAAGGAGTCGAGCTGACCTAGGTTGGGGTTTGGGTTGGGGCTCATTTTGGATTTGGCTAAGTCAGGGGGGAGGAGGGTGTTTATCTTGTGGGGGGGCTGTTGGGGGTGTTTTCGCGTCTCCTCAGACAGAGACGGGCTCTTAATGCTGGGGTGGAGGGATGTGTAGTGTTGCTGCTGCTGTGTGTGCTGCTGTGTGTGCTGCTGATATTGCTGCTGTTGATGGTGATGAAGAAGATGATGATGAGGAAGGACTGTTTTCTCCTTTTCCACCAGCACCACATTTTCAGCCATCGATGTGACAGGCCTGAAAAAGACAAAAAATATTTTACTTATGTACATACAGAATGATCTGTATTTACTATTATAACCTCTATCATTGAGTCTAGTGATGAGGTCACAGTCACAATCAAGTCCAGTTGATTTATATAGCCCAAATATACCCCTCTGGGCTTTAGACCTTTGATTTGGGTAAGGACAAACAGAAAAACCATTTAATGGAAGGAAGGAGGAACCCCTCTCACATTTGAATCATGTGTGCATAAAACAAAGTGCTCAATTATTCCTATGACCAGATAAATACTAGTGTAAATTACAAGCATTCTTAAAGTACATGGCCACTTTCCATGTACTTTAAAAAAATGTATATGATGTATCTAAGAAAAATGTAAACTCATGATTTCAATTGTATGAATTGTAAAACCTGTTACCAGGTTGCCACTGATTTTGGAGCCTCTATATAGCAAAAGCAAATCTTTATATCTGCTATACTGTCAATTGTTTGATTGATCCTAGGTCATTGTTAGATTGATCCTTGCTCATAAGGAGCAAGCTTTTGCTATTGAGGTTTCCATTATGGTACTTGTTCCAGAAAACCAGGATTCTTACAAATTCAATAATCTTTTAAATACAGTGTGCTTATATGTCTTTTTTAATTTGACTTCAGTTCCTAATCTTTCCGACCCTTATTGCCATTTAGTTAATCTTTTGTTTTTGTATTTTACTAGTGATACTACTATTTTCTCATTGCTGCAGTAATACTAATTTTATTCAGCTGAGTTTAAGGCCTTTTGGTGCTATAAAATTAAAATTAAACTAATTTTTTAACATAAACGCAGGTAGTGGCAATTCAGTGTGTTTACTTGCAGTAACTGGGTCAGCTGGTTTTCTCCAGTAAGATTACTCCTAAAATGTCATGTAAACAAGAACCTAAACCTAGTTTCTTTCCAAAATAGAGAAACCAGATTACCCCCACAAAAGGTGATGTCTTAGCTTTGTAACCATGTACATGAGTTTCTAATCAGTTTAGAAAGTACAGGACAAAGACTGCAGACAGAAAGAATCACTGTGACAGCAGAATTAGGATCATTACACAAAGCAATGAATCCTAGGAAACCATTGAACTTTTAGCAATTTGTAAAATTCTGTCACATTCACGATAAGGAAAGGAAGGAAGTGTGCTCTCACTACAGTGTCATCTTTCTGCACTGTCAGCACTTACATACACACAAAAATCAGGTGGTGTATTGCATTACTACAACAGTTAAATTAAGCAAACCATGCTTCTGGGAGACATTTTGGGGGACCAGATAGTCTATCTAATAACTACACTGCAAAAAAGAGATCTCAAGAAAGTAAAACAGTCTTGTGTCTGGGAAATTTGTCGTTTTTGGTCTAAAAAGAAAAACAATCTGTTTTAATAAATGTTTTGTATCAAGAAGTTATCTAGTTTTAAGAAAATATACCTTTGTCTTAATAAGATATTATAGCTAATATTGAGCTAGATGTAACCAGTAACAAGTTACAACAATGGTTTGCATTATATCCCAGCAGAGGGACAAGATTATTTTCCTTATTTTAACAGTAAGACCACTTGCACAACTTCTCAGTTTAAGAGAAAGTAGTCTTGTCCCGGTGTTGTAAATGAAGCAGCTGTTTCGTTTTTCATTGTTTTAATAAAAAATGCTAAAAATAATCTGGTGCCTTTATGTAAAACAAAGTCACTTATTTTTATTATGCTGTTTGAAGAAATTGTGCTTGTGTGTTTTTTGCTAATTGCTTAATTGCTTGATAATCATAGATTAAGGTACAAATTCTAAAATTGAGCTCAATAAAGTGATCAAAATACTTATTTTAAGAGGTTTATTACTTGTAATAAGCACAACTTGCTTACATTTTTGGCATTTCTTCTAGTTTTAAGGCCCATTACAGTCTTTTAGTGGTTAGATCTTTATGCTACTTTTAGAATTCTAGCCAAGCAAAATTGGCTTACCCCATTGGACGTGCAGTGTAGAGATGTTCCAATACAATATGATTGCTATCATTGTTGTGTGCCCTGGCTCAGGTTAAACCCTTTGTCAGAGTCAGAGTAGGGTGGGTGCTTCACTATCCTGGGAAATAGCAGGGTCCTGTTTTGGGGCTGATAAATTGTAAATACATTGTATCTATTTTAGGCATTATCAGAAGAATTTCTGATCCTGCCAATGGTACCGGAACAACTCTACAAATAACTACACCTGACACCCAGTCATCATATCAGGAATATGATCTGTAACATTCAGAACCTGACTTTAAAAAATACACTTAACATAATTTAATGTTTTAAAGAGTTCGGTCTAGACCTGCTCTATTTGAAAAGTGTCCTGAGATAACTTCTGTTATGAATTGGCGCTATACAAATAAAATTGAATTGAATTGAATTGAATAATTTCTATTCTCACCTGATGACCTCAGAAGGAGCAAACTCTATCTTGCCTAAGCTCCTGACAGCTGTAATACCACCTCCCATAATGCCCTGCTGCTGTTGCTGCTGCTGCTGTATCGGAGGTTCAATATCCATCCTGCGGCCCCCTTCTGATGGAGAGGGAGATGGAGGGACGGGAGGCGAGGAGACGGGGGAGGGGTTGAGGGGGAGGTAAGGTGAGAGTGACGTGGACTCAGCCTTCTGCGATGCAAGCAGTGCTGAAACTGCCTCCGAACTCTCCTGGTGCACCGTCGCCTGGGCATCGTCTGTAATGTCGATTACACTGCCACCGTGGAGGGACAGCGACGGCGTCTGGGATCGAGATGACACTAATAAACAGGAATAAAAACATTACACTGTAAGGATACTAAACTTACTGATAATTATCATACATATGACAGTTGCCATGCATCAGTTGACTGTACCTTTCATAGTGTTTTTACTGCTGTCCATAATGGCGCCCTGGACGGTGTCAGACATCAGAGGCGTCTGTTGCCGTGGAGACTGGGTGATCTGTGTTACTGCAACCAATTCCTCCTCCTCCTTCGTTATCATTTTGCCTGTTTCCTTAACCACACACTTCTTGCTGTCCTCTGTTGCCTGAAGCTCCACCCACGGAGACAGGCGACCAATGAGAGACGAGGAATCATTCATTTTGGCGCCCTGCATCAGCGGCTTCTCATCCTCTTCCTTTTTGGAAACACCACTTGGTTTGACGTCACTGCTGCGAGTCTTCAGCTCATTCTCAGAGTTGGGCTCTGAGGAGGAGGAAGAGGAAGAGGAGGAGGACGACGAAGACGATGAGGAGGAAGAGGAGCACGAGAAGTGGGCGGTCCTCTTGTGTGGGTTTTCTGAGTCGCTACTCTCTGACAGATCAGAAGCCATGTCAGTTTTGAGCCTCTTCAGACCAGCCTTCTTCTCATCTTCCTCACCCTTCCTACGTTTGTTCACTGCCTGCTTGGCCTTTGACTTGGAGTCTGGACGAATAAAAAAAAGAAGAAGTAATTTTTTGGATACTCACACCCAAGCCTGCTGACAATTCTTGTTAATGAATTAATTCTCTTCTTCCTCTTGACCAGAGTTTTTATAATCTGTTGAGGTGTTGTTTATTACTATTACAGTAAGAAAAAATCCCTCTAGAGAATACATTTTGGCCAGTGTAAGCAACCCTTCATATGGTTAAACAGGTATTAATTCAAATCCAAAAGTGTCAATTTCTGCATCTTAGTTACACTACTGTGTGAACAGGCTGTATCACTAAAAAATGTTCACTTCAATTTAACCTCTGTGTACATCAGCAAACTCTGTAAATCAAAAGTGGAGGTAGACAGGCCAGAAGGAAAGAAAACCAAAAAATATTCAAATATGACGCAGTCACCAAAATGGGAATAAATAAAGTTGTCTTTTTGTACAGTAATCAGTAAGTAAGGTCCGACCTCCAGGGTTACCCTCTGCTCTGGCGGCGTCTACCGCATTGGGCACTGCCCCTCTGTAGGCTTCTGCAGGTTGGCCAATAAGAAGAAAGTGGACTTTTAGGGAGGGGGGCCAAATAGATACACAAGCTAAAATGGTTTGTTTCTGGCAGGATGAACTGATGGGCTAATTAGTAGGCCAGTTTTACTGTGAAATATGCTAAGCTACCAGAGTCCCAGAATAAAAAAAAGTTGGAAATAATAAGTCTCCTCTAAGAACAACATACTCCGGGTGGCTGTGGCTCAGAGGGTCGTCCACTAATCGGAAGGTTGCTGTTCGATCACCGGCTCCTCCCAATGCATGTCGAAGTATACTGAACCCCAAATTCTTCCAGATTCTGAGTCATCGGTGTGTGAATGTGCATGAATGACTTTGTTTCTCTTCGATGGGCTTTGCCATCACTGTATGAATGTATGTGAAAGGGTGAATGAGGCATGTAGTGTAAAAGCACTTTGAGTGGTCAGAAGACTAGAAAGGTGCTACACAAGTACAGGTCCATTTACCATTTACTCCTCTTCAGGTTGACCTTTTCACAACCATATTAAGGAGTGAAATAAATATGTTTCTGATGTAGCCTGATTTGTGTTTGTGGAACCACAATTATTATTTAAAAGAAGCCACAATTGTAACTGTTTTGTATATAAAATCTTTTGGCCTTAAATTTGAGTGTTTGATGATGACTGTCCTCACCTCTGGGGGTCTCTTCTCTCCTGTCCTTGTCCTCCTCTGGAACACTGCTATCCGATCCTTTCCTTCTGGAAGAGCGAGAGCTGCGCTGCTCTCTCTGCTCCCGACCACTGCCAACGGGCGAGTTGTGCAATTGGCTAGCTGGCTGCTGGCTTGGCTGTGATAGGCTCTGCTGCTGGGAAGCCAGCGTCCCCTGGGAACCTTTTGGGTGTGGGCCTGATGAGGTCATGATGGGGCGGGGGCTGTTAGCTTGAGCTCGCGTGTAGTGACTCTGTAAGAATAAATAAAGTCATATGTTAGCTCATGTAGAGAAACACACAGACCTGACAATTACAACCTTTAGTATCAATGCATACAATCAGTTATCAGTTAATCACAATCCGATATGACAGACCTGCAATAAATCCTTTGTGAATCTTACAGTTATACTCATGTTTTATTGAATTTAAAGTTGTATTTAAAGTTTTAAGTTGTCAGTATAATCCAACAGCTCTGCAGTAAAAACTAAAGTTTTAATTGAGACCCTTTTAGAGAGGTGTTGACACAACTGTGTGGTCATTTTTGAGGCTGTAGTAGGTGCTGCTGGTCAGGGTTATACGCTTTATTGAGGTCGGATGTCACCATCTAGCATTGAATACTATATTGAAGGGCAGAAGAGATTCACAAGACACATGTATAACAATGGGTAGTTTCCTGTTTTTTTGTCAATTGTTTACTTCATCTTAGCTCGAGTCAGAGCTGGATCTACCAAACTAGGTTAGCAATAACCCTGCACTGCTGAGGTCATGTAAAAAAGCAATAAAAACTAAATCATAAATACAAAAGAAGTAGGAGTTCAGGTTCATTCCACACAACATGGCCCCATCTGTTTCAGACAAATATCACCACAAACACTACATTCTGCTGCATGCTTCATATGAACAAAACTCCAGCCAAACTCTAATCCAAATGCCAGTTTTCAAAAGTCTACAGTTAACTTTAAAAATATCCTTTATAAACTAATCACTGCAAAACCTTGTGGACCCTTAGGGCTCAAAGTCTGAGTAAAATAGTGGCAACATCTCTGTAAAACAGATGGAACAAAAACTGAACATTAGGACCTTCATGAAGGTAGGATATATTGCAGAGCTTTTGTATTAGACTGCATTAGTTTAAGCTAGGTGTTCCTAACAAACTGCAGTGTATATTCGGATGGATTTATAGTATTTAATCCCCCAGTGGGATGTAAATGAAACGGACATAAAAGACACATTTCAATGTAATGTAGTCCAATACAACATCTTCTATACTATGTCTTTGAGCAACTGTACCTCTGTCTGAGCCACAAAATAAGTGTACATCTTTACTATCAATTAGTCTTATCAAAGATTCTATTACAGAAATATCACATACACTAAATGACTGACAGAAACACGAGGAAAAAAAACCCTGAATATCAATCAGAAAATATTATAACAGTAATATGTCTCATTGTTTTGACTCTACTCTTGCACATTGGGTTTGAAATGGACGCAAATGTTACACAAGTCTCCCTGTTTTTTGGTTAAAGATAATTTAAATGTGATCTTTTGCTCACTGTTTCATTTCCAAGCCAACAAAAATGACTGTCCTTACACGTTGAATGCACTGTGTGACTCTGAAAAAGCAACAAGACACTTGTAAAATGTAATCAGTATAGTCGAATAGAGTTCCTATGGTATGTTTTACTGTATATGAACATAGTCCCAGAGTTCAGATTGCTGTTTTTCAACCGTGATGCAGAGAACCGAAATACATTTATTTAGAGGGGGTGGCACCAGTGGGAATCACACCCTTAACCACAGAGCTATGCTGTATCCATGGAGCTGGACAGGCCTAGATTTTAACAACCAAGGATCTATGTAACCATGGCATCCCATTTGTCTGTTTATGTTGCCTGAGTAATAAATTCAAGTTAAAAATATACTAATATCTTCCAATGGCTGCAAGGTTTTTGCTTCTTAAACCCAAGCCGTGAAGTAAGTTGTGATACTTGACTAATTAGTACTTTAATTAAAACCAAGGAACATTTTTAAAGCTCTCTGCAACACAATCTGTGAGATTGTTTGGAGGGGATTAACTTTTGTACAGGTCCAATCTCTTCTCTTAACAGCAACTTACAAATGCCAAATATTGCTATTGTCTGATGTGTGGGTTGGAGCTAAGTGAGGTAAAGGAGAAGTATAAAAGAGCATGGAAAGCAAAAGAAGATCTCTCTAGCTGTGAAAAACAATGGCTCTGCTTTTTACAGGTAGATATTTTTTAAAAGAGAAACTGGACTGGCTGATCTTGATACATTTTTACTGCGCACAAATGGGATCATTTGTACATTTTTAATTGTAAATATAAATACGTCAAAAAACATTCCATGTAAGCCAGATCATGTGTAAATCTTGACCAAGTCACCCACAACTGTAGGTGTTAAAGGTGGGGTCAGTTGTTCTGAAGAATGATAGATGACTCTTGAGTCTCATTGCCAGGTCGTCAAACACCAATGCTTTGGGTTAAGGTAAATAGGCAACAAACAAAGTGCCAAGGTCGTCAAATACTGCAATCCCAAAAGGGTCTCCAGAATGACTGACCTCACCCTTAAGTTGTTCTCATGTTGCTATTAACCTTGTGAAATAAGAATCGTGTGAGTCATGCAGGGCTTGATGCTGATGCTTCACAATCAGGCCTGTCTCTGATTAGACATAAAAGACACCGCGCTGTAGAGTTGTTATGGAGCCTTGTCAGGCCCCTGTTGATCGGTAAATATCATGGGTGGTTCCAAAAAGCCCACAGAATGTAGTACAGCGAGATTACTTCCTTATCAGTGCAGTCCAATCCTATTGATTTGTGAAAGGCAGAGCACACTCTGGGGCACCCTCTCTAATCCTGACCTTTCACACTGAGCCTGATCTGGCACTAGGTTTGTGGAGCAGATGTATAAGCCTATTGGGGGTTCAGTTCAACCCACAAAAATAAAATACGAAAGAACAAATAAGAAAGAAATAAGAAATAAGAAAACAGCAACAATCAAATAGGCGAGAGGTCATGGTTTCTCAGAATTACAAATTAAACTCCAGGGCTTTAGTTAAAGAGTAATTCCACACTATGCAAAAGCATGGCTGCACTGACCTCTAAGGGCTGAATCACTTCTGTCAACACCCATCCTCACAGCTGGGAGGGGTCTGTGCGGTCTGTGTACTTGACTTTGCCAAACTGCGATGGATTATTCTGTATATGGTGAAATGCTCCACTGCAGGAAGAGGCAGCAACCACTAGATGGCAGTGAAGGCAGGATTTTGGCTTGGGTGAAGTTATTCTTTAAATCAATATTTCACTTCCAACATTTCATCTCCAGGTAGTAGCACTGTGCATCGATACAGTGTCAGAAAGAACTACTGTCCATGTACCTGCAGTTATATTGTTCACTGTGATTTTTATTTGGTGAATCTCAAAGTCTGCTAAAGGTTCAACTGAGATGATCCAAATGGTTCTCCTGTTTTTGGTACCTAATGTAGAAAAGTTTGTTTGATACTCTCAATAAAGCCTTTTCACCACTATATAGCAAAACATAACAGAAGCTATCTCAGGATACTTTTTATGTAGAGCAGGTCTAGACCATACTCCTTATAAATTGGTACATACATTTGGGGATACAAATGTTGAGAGAAACAGTTCATGCCAAAGTGAAAATATTATTTGTAAGAGAGGGGAGATATACAGGTCAGAGACAACTGAAGACATGAGTGCTTGAAGTGTCTTACGCAGCTTTGCTCACAGTTTCACAGATTAATTTTGTTATGTATGTCCTTCATTCATTCAGTTATTGCACCAGCAAAAAGATTCTGCAGTTCTCATTAGATTAAAATTTTTTATTATGTGTTAGGTGACAGTCCACCCGTGTTTAACAGATTGCTTTTCCGATCACCAAAAGATACCACAGTAGTAATGGAGGAAAATGTTGATCCTAGATTTTGGTTTCCTTTAATAACTCTAGATTAATCAATGAATCAAACGCTCCAATGTGGAGATCTCCTCCCAATAACCAGTGACACTGAAAGGAACAATCTGCACCTCAGTCAGATAACTTTGCTGCAATGCCAGAAGTGCCAATACAGAAATGTTTTTTTTTTGCCAGACTAAGTTTAAGTACACTCTTCAATTTTGTTACCTTGCATAAAATCGCCCCCAGATCTTCCTTGCAGCTCAACACTGACGTTTTGAATCAACAGACTTCACAGCTAGAAACTCACAGCTGGCTGAGTAATGTAATGTTCAGATTTGGTGGTGCTCATTCGGTGCCTTTCCTTTCATTCAAGTGCAGATCATGTCTGTCAGCTACAGCTCTACACTTCAATGGACTTTTCTTTTCCTATAGTGTATTGTGGAATAGAGCTGCAACAATTAGTCAATTAGTTGTTAATTATTAGGAAGAAATGTGAATATCTTCTGGTTTCCTTAGTCCTCTATGACAGTAAACTAAATAGCATAATTTTGTGATGTTTTATGGACCAAACAACTAATCGAATAACGCTCGACAGATTAATCAATAATTAATATAATCATTAGTTGCAGTCCTATTGTTGAAAGTGTGGGTCTGGAGGGTTTGAGGGTTGGGGGTTACCTGAGTGTTGCCAGTGGTCCCGCCGGGTCTCCCTCCTGCCATCTTTAATGTGGGAACAACAAGAAAATAAAAATCAAGAAATAAAATAACAAAATGAAAAGAAATTGTGAGAGATTTTGTTCATGACAAACAGACTGGTTCAACAATGAGCTCTTTCTATATGTGCCTCATGCATTTTTGACTAAACAACAACAAATTGTAAATAGTGTTTGACATCAAGGAGCTGACTGGTAGCCAGTGTGACTGCGTGCTGTTTGTCTCTGTGTGTTGACTTTTAATGGAAAGATAAAAAAAAAAGCACATACAAACTTTAGCTTTAAAGCTATGTCCATTAAATAAATGGAGAGGAAGTAGAGAAAGTGACAGCAGATATGGATCAGATAAAATGAGAAAGAATTCATCAATAACCACAATTACTGCCCAATTGAGGAAACAAAAAAGATCTGCAATACAATTGGATTTTCCTGGTTTGGAAATGCATAATTTAAGAGATTTGGGAAGGGTGTGGCAGGCTGTGTTGACCAATGTTTCTGAAACGAACAAATAACGATGCAATAGGTCTAAAGAACGGTTGGCAAGTCAAAAGAACATACTTAAAGTGGCTTATTATAAACTAGGTCAATCAATGAGTCAAGAAAATAAATTAGCAGATGTATCAGTAATGATAAGTTGTGGGCCTAAATAAACTCATCTATTTGTAGTCTATAACACAAAATGTGAAAAAAGGGGAAATGTGTCACTCTTTTCAAAAGAAGGTCTGATTTGCTCCAACTACTGTGTTTATGTTGCCATTGTCTTCTTTGGTCATGTAAATGGGCCTTCACCCAGGCAATAACCCACGGCACTTCATCATATAACTTCATTCAACTGTTTGTAATTTATACCGTCATAATACAATGCATTTATCGCATCTGACCAAAATTACACCTGTTTTATTTTATCCCTCCATTATGTTAAATTTTTTCAGTCTTGGTGTATATGTAGGCTAGTTATTTTATTTTTCCAGAGGTGATATAGGTAAGGTATGAATTGTTGATGGCACATGAAATCTGAGCCTTTATTTGTACGTCAGTGTTTACTGTTGAAAAACGTACTGTTACCGCTGACAATGTGAAGCTACATTTCAATTCTGTGTATAAGATTTTTATTCTCATTTTCTTTTTCTCTTTGTGCTTTTATGCATTTTGAATATGTGAAACAGCTTACAGATAGTTAAATATGTCAGTTTTAAGTGTGTTCATCCTCACCACTACCAGCTGTTAGAAAGCTCTTTCTACTTGTGTAAATGTACTATTGTGTGTATTCTGTGTATGTGTGTGTGTGTGAACTCACGTGGGCAGAATTGTTGTTCTGGCTGGATCGTGACCTTCGTCTGGAAGTGATGCCAATGTTTTCTCCTTTCAGCAGGGAGTGGACCACGTCATCAAGAAAGGTCATCTGGACCATAGACGGATCCACGTTTTGAGGCTCTAGCACCTGAACACACACCAGATTCACTTTACACTGTCCACATGTGAACCAGGTTTATTAGATCTAATAAGCTTCTGGTTTTAAAGGTGCAGTGTTTCACTTTTATGGTGGTCATGGCTGTTCATTTTAAGCTAGTGAGTAAGCAGTATTGTAGTGAACAAGTGGGAGAGCTAACTTGTGCTAGCTGCACAATGATAACGCTGCACTGTGGTGAAGAGCGCAGGTAGCTGCAATAATGCAGCTCTCGTCAAAAGGCCTGAGTTGGAATGACAACTTGATTTAGTGAAGAGAGTCAGTCTGGTATAGACAGGTTGATAGATAGGTGGCTTTTCTGCTAAACTTGGAAGAGACAAGCACAACACCTGTATCCACGTTAGCTGTACACAACAAATATGGCAATAGATGGAGCTTCAGAATGCTTAGAAGACATGAAAATACATATTTGTACGTATTTATTTTGGTTCTGTTTTATTTGGTTGTTAGACATTATTGTCATGTTCCTGTCCTGTTTTTGTGCTATTGGGAAAGTGGGGTGGGGGCTGGGAGATACTGTTCTTGTCCTTGTTATTTGTACTGATAAAAAAAACAACTAATAAATAGTGTTTAAAATGCATGCATGTGTATGGGTGTACCTGGTCATTCATAACGACCATGTTTCGACTGAAGAGGTCGTGGTGTGTAATGATGCCAGTAAACCACTGGGTGGCCGAGTCTTGTCTGTACACACGCACACGGTAGCCATTCAATGAATAGGGACCTGGAAGTAACAGAAAACAGTTCCAATCACGGTGTTAGCGTCCTGCTACTGGAAGTATCAAAATTAACTGCAGGTGAAGACACACTAGTTACAGTAATGACTGAACAAGCTGAGTGCACAGAACATGATGACCAACACATTCAGCAAAAAACTGTTACACTTAACAACATTGTAACAATGATACTATCTACATAGTGTAATGCTTAGCAATATAAAGAATGTAAGAAAAAGCTTACCTTGCATAAAAATTTCCTGCACCTTCTGGTCTTTGAGCCAGCCTTTCACTTCTTCAAGGAGCTGATGGTTGTCTCTTAACACTGGGTTCTGACTGTCCACCTCATCCTGAAAGACAGACAGACACATCAGCATCAAACACACTGAAACTTGTTCCAAGTAGTCCACACCATTTTTACACAGACAAGTCTAAAAATGGTATCCACACCATTATCTTTAAAGTCAACAACAAAGTATTTTATTGTGGCAGGCAGAGACACAGCCCAGTTCCCAAATTATTTAGTGTCAGTTGTAACATAGACCAGTCCACACTCTATATTGTGGTCTGTGGGATTTGAACCGGCAACCCTCCGGTTCCCAAGCCAAGTCCCTAGAGACTGAGCAACTGCTCAGCCACAGTCTGATTTGGTGGTCACTAAGAGGCTCCATTGGAGCAGCTGGGGGGGTTCAGGGCCCTTAGAGTGCCTCAGCCGTGGAAATGAGGGAGGGGCAAGCAATGCTCTTTCACTTTCCACTCACAGATTTATCCTGTAAGTACGGGGATTGAACTATCAACCTTCTGGCCACCCCATCACCCCAAGTCAAACTGTAACTCCTGAGCTACTGCTAGGGTAACTTAAATAATAAAATAAAATATTAACAGTTATAACAGCAATATCAGCTATCATCACATACAAAATATATTTTAAGACTAGGTTTGTAATAATGTGCAACTGGCAGTAATGATAGTGAAATGCAAACATATAAACAGACAGATACTCTTTATTGAGTCTGATCCATGTTCTAACAGGAAAATCTACAGATGCCCAATCATCCAGTAACTGGTCAGAACACAACTGTATTATCCAGTAAATATGTATAAAAACAGAAGTTCAGTCATATGAATAAACACAGTGGAATTCACTCTAGATTTAAAAAAAACAACAGCAACAACCTTACAGTACAAAGGTACAAACACACACAGAACCACATAGAGGGAAATGGGTTTGTTGAGACAGGCTGAGAAAGTGTCTAGACCTGCCCTATTTGAACTGTGTCCTGAGATAACTTCTGTTATGATTTGGCACTATACAAATACAACTGAACTGAACTGAGAGGTAAGATAAGTTAAAATATGGAAAGAAACAAGTAGAAAAGATCATAAAACACAGAAAAAATATTAAAATCATCTTCACCATTCAAACACAAAGCAACAATATGCACACCACTGCCGAGGAAACCAAACCACATTCACCATACAGCACTTGTAGCACACTCCGCTCCGCTGTGTGTGTGTGTGTGTGTGTGTGTGTGTGTGTGTGTGTGTGTGTGTGTGTGTGTGTGTGTGTGTGTGTGTGTGTGTGATTTTGGGGAGTCTTCAAGGTGATTTATTACATGTGAATAATGGATGAACAGAAAAGGAGAAAATTAAATACTGACCCAAACACCACCAATTAAATTAATTGAAATGCACCGAAGGTCATATTCTAAGAATTACTCTGTAGTAGGGTTCGCATTTCCAATATAATGCATACACTGCATAGCAAGACATTTTTCTCTCAGTGCATGGAGGTCAGATGTCCGTCTGCATTCAGATTCTAATAACTGATAGTTGAAAATTATCTTCTTGAGGGAAGACAAAACAAAACAAAGATATAAACTAAAACTTATAGAATCAAAATTCAGAAGTGAATGCCCCAGTCAGGCCTGCACAATAAAACCTTGAGATCAAATAACGAAAACATCCTGGCATATCCTTTGATAATGGGGCGTGCTATGAGTGAATCACCACAGTCCTTCGGAGTGCAAAGCATGGCCGCAGGAGCTCACCATGTTGAACTACCATACAGTAGCCCAGAAGGGACAAACCAAATACTGGCTCTAGATAGGGCCTTTTGTGATTTTTGCTGCCATGGTAGTTTCTGCAACTACACTACTAGATGTCATTAAATCCTACACACGCGACTTTAACATTCAAATTATTACCTGTGTGCCTTGATAAAGAAATTCAACCTTTTTTCAACTGTTTATTAAAAATAGGTCATGTAAAAGTATCAATAATAATGTCAATATGAACTGAAATTAAACATTTTATCTCCATACATCCTTTTTTTCAACCCCTCTGAAGTTCATATGGCACAGACATAAAACATGCTGAAAGGCTGCAGTTATCAGAGTAACCAGCATATCTACTCACCATGCAGAGCTGCAGGAATCAAACAGACAGGAGACAGGAAGGCCCGGGAGCAGACCAGATAAGGTCACAGCTTTCATTTTACCTTGCCATCTCTCTCTCTGCCTCTGATTCTCTCATATTTTGCTGCAGTGTTCTAGTTTTGTAGCCTTATTCAGCTCTAAATTAAACCAGTGTACACACTAAAAATAGCACATTGGAAGGCAGTGCTACAGAGGTCAGCAGAAACATGTCTTGTATATTCTTACAATATGTCGTCTTGATGAGTCTATTTCCACCATCTATTCTGAATTACTGTTGTCTGTTTAGACACGGTACACACAGAGACTGTGTTACCAAGGCAACATGGTCACCATGACCACCGATTGGTCTATTTTCATCGGACTGGAGAGAAAGATATGAGCACAGAATCAAGTGTCCAGTGGTAACAGGTAAGTGCAAACTGATGATAATGGTTGTGGACGGTTTTGTGCTGTATATTTCAAACAACCACTGCAAAATGTAAAAACTATTCCAGCAGAGTGTGATACTGAATCTAACGCATGACAATAAGCAACCATGGTGTGAAACCAGCCTCTGCTTCTGTTCTCAACAGACTAAACTGGATAAACTGGATTTTTCAAAAGCTTAGTATAAAAGAGAGGCCTTTCTGATACAGATACTTAATGATGTACTAATTAAAATACATTATGGATAACGGCATTAATTATTGTCTTTAGCCTTTTCTTAGGCCTGTTTGTGTGACTCAAGGCTATTTGTTCAAGCTCTGCTTTGAATTCAACAAAGGGCAGACACACCGTAGTGTGACACCGGATAATTAGTAACATAACAAATATGACACACATTCACATATATACGGAGGCAAAGAAAGACTTCAAACACCCTTTCTTTCAGGGACAATAATTGTTGCTGTGGAGACACTGAGGCTAAACTGTCAGAGAGTTTCTTCAGTATGTGTGTTGAGAGATTTCTTTCAGGTATGAGGAGTCTATTACAGGGTGGCTGAAGATTGACTGGACACTGGAAATATTTATTTGATACACTGGAGCTGTGGTCCATTTCAGACACTGTTTGGATGTAACACTATGTCCAAAGTTAATTTTAGAAGAAGCTGTCCAGATTTCTACTGACCAGTCTGCCACATGCCACATTTCTGAAAACCTAATTTGAAAAAAGGTCAAGAATGAACTCTCATTATAAGTCTCTTCCACAAACCCATCTTTAGTCGAATCTAAATACAGACGTGCTTTCATAAAGGACACAGATCAGAAAACAGCCAATAGTTTGATTACTCCTTTGTACAAGTGATGAAATGAACGTTGATATCTAACACTACCTGATCATTTCAACTGTCCAAATCAATTGTCACCTGCTAAGGCCTATTGTTGGTAGTTAGAGAGATAGAAATCACATGTAAGGCAAACGGTCTATATCTAGCAACAGTGTGAACTGATACCACAGGTGTCAGTGTGAGCATGTGTTTGGGTGTGTGTAAGTGTAAGCACACAAGATGCTGTCAAAGTAACGTGACACTGGGATGAATATAGAAGTGTGTGACAGCAGGGAGGGAGAGGGAGGGCATGGCAAGGAAAGACAGAGAGAGAGTGCTTTGTATTTGTAGCACTGCAGGGCATAAAGCCATCCCACTGAGGCAGGACTGTCAGCTGAACAGCATTAGAGGAGGAGAGAGAGAGAGAGAGAGAGAGAGAGAGAGAGAGAGAGAGAGAGAGAGAGAGAGAGAGAGAGAGAGAGAGAGAGAGAGAGAGAGAGAGAGAGAGCTGCTGTTTCCCTCCTCCGACAGTCAAACTCACTACACTCCTACTCTTGACTTCAAACAGTCACAGAAATACCTTTGTCATACAGATCTATTACAGGTTTGCAGATGACAACTGCAACTAAAAGGTACTAACATAAGTAACACATTTTAAAATTAAAACAAAAACAGGTTGCAAACTGGTTATAGTGTCATTTTTCACAGGAGACATTTTTCACAGTACTAAATAGGTTTATTCATGGACCAAGTGAAATAAAAAAATACATTTTCCATGTTCTTATCCTGTGTCCCTGCCAACTGTCTCTTGTTATATGAAAAATATAGCAAGAGTTAAGCAAAAGGAAAAAAATAGAAGAAGAGTTTTGAGAGTAAATCTAAATCTAAGAGTAACTAAAGGGCGGCTGTAGCTCAGAGGCAGAGTGGGTCGTCCACTAATCGGAAGGTTGTTGGTTCCATCCCCGGCTCCTCCTGCCACATGTCCAAGTATCCTTGAGCAAGATACTGAACCCCAAATTGCTCCTGATGCCGTGCATCGGTGTGTGAATGTGTATGAATGAGTTAGTTTCTGTTTGATGGGCTTTGCCATCACTGAGTGAATGTGTGTGAAAGGGTGAATGTGGCACATAGTATAAAGTACAGGTTCATTTACCATTTAAAGCCCTCTCCAAATGATAACCTGTCTTTACATTCCATTGCATTCAGAAAGATGTCACACTGTAGAGTACACTGCCATTTTACTGGGACTAAATTCAACAACTATCCAATCAAGAATTAGATTAAAGCATCATTCAATCAGTAAATAACAAATCCATCATAATTCTTTCAACATAATTACAACTGGACTGTGGGCATGTTTAATGTCACTGCTGATGAGTGATACAAAGTGATTACATTGTAAACACAGAGCTGAAAGCAACCAACTATGTCACATGTTACCGGACAGTTGAGTCTCTTTTAACCTGCTTAAAGCCAATAGGGACAGAGTGATTCCCTGTGAATGAATAAGCACCCTGTGGATCAAACTACTGAGTAGGGTTGTGCTGGTGCTATACAGGACTGTATTATCTTTAAGAGTGTTTTTATGACAGAGTTGAATCAACACATCAAAGACAGAATGTGAACAACATTAAAGGAAGTTTCACAAAAGCAGTGTTTATTACAGGGCTGTTGCATTGGATAACATAATGTGTGGGAAATGATTTGTCTTGTCAGTCAGTGCAGGTGAGCAGCAGTGTTTCATGAGTCTGGTTGCAGCACTGTGTCTGTCAGCTGTGTCCCTGTGAATGATCTCCATTAGTCTAGTAGCAGGAGGAGTCAGCTGGCTCAGCCCACACACTCTTTCAGTCATACTCTGCCCTGCAGCCTGCAGCTATAGCGAATTCTTCCACCAGAAACAAAACAACAGCTACAACTGGACCCCGAGGGCTTTCTGAAGGTGGAGGATTTTTCCTATTAACCCTTATTCTAATGAAGCTGCAGTCTGCAATTTCTCTGACAACATAATTAAATGTGTTCAGAGGTTACGGATTGCCTTTTAGACTAACCCCCAGTCATCTGAGAGACATCTGTGTAGAAAGAACACGGTCATTCCATTTGAATGTTTTCACTACGAACACTGTTGGTTTGAAGAAGAAAAACAACTGAGTCCACTGAGTGTGCACTGACAGACTGGAAACTGCTGCTGGGACCAACATAATACTATGGAAAACACACTGCGTGTTACTGAGCTGTGTGTCTAGTTTGGTCAAACTCTTGAGTCAGCGCTAACAGTTTCATTCTCCACCTCCTGTCCCTCAGCCTCAAAACACACCAACTTTCTAGAGACACACACACACACACACACACACACACACACAGACACACAGACACACACACACAGACACACACACACACACACACACACACACAAGCAGCAGGCTGGCCCACTAAACAGTGACTTCATTGTACAGTTTATGCCAAACAGATTGTAGCCCACTCCCTCTCCCTCCATCCTCTTCCTCCCTCCGGTCTTCCTGTCCAACTGGAAAAACAGAGAGGGGAGTGGCCATGGCTTTACTGCTCCGAGTGTGTGTGAGAGAGAGAGTCGGAATGTTTTTACTGCTCTGAGAGTTCGAAGGTCTACAGAAGAATAGGCAGCTCTGTGCAGGCATGGGTGATTTAAGAATGGAGGAATCTGTGTGTGTGTGTGTGTGTGTGTGTGTGTGTGTGTGTGTGTGTGTGTGTGTGTGTGTGTGTGTGTGTGTGTGTGTGTGTGTGTGTGTGTGTGTGTGTCTGCAGGACAGGAGTGATGCTCCCACTTTTCTTCACTTCAGATGGCTGCAGTTACTGCCGATGTGGGGTACTGGGAAAGTGTAGGAGTGGGAGTAGATGCATTCAGGCAGCGTGGTCTGGTAATAAGTAGTGATTAGGTGGGTAGTGTGTGTGTTATTTTGAAAAGGAGCAATACTCTAATATATATGGAGTGCCTTGGTAGCTGCATGGTTACAGCACATGCCTGACTGACAGTGAGTGCACAGCAAAGTAAAACATTACAGTGCCACACAGGATACGATAGTTCAGGTGCTAGTTTGTTCTCTTCATCTACCCACGATGTTCTTTGGTTTGTAATAATTTCCTTACACGGCCACAGGGTACGTGTATGTCACAGTCAGTTGGCCATCGGCTGCTGAGTGTGTTTAAATGTCATCTGACCTGTGACGAGTGTGGAGATTGTGGATAGAGAGGACTACGTGATGCAAGCTGAAGAAAGTCTTAGTGATCTGCTGCTTTTCGCAAAACAATCTCCACCGCAAACCTTCAGCTCACTGCAACACTCTGTTACAGTGAATGAAAAAACAAAAACAGAAACAGATATTGCATGGTAGTAGTCTATCATTCAGGAATGAGACAAGGTGAAGAAGCATCAATGTCTGTGCTCATGTGGCTGATAAACAAAAAATGTCATCAGACACATCTGTAGACAGCCTTGATAGTGTGGCTGCTGTGGAATGATGTTAGTGTTCGTCTTTGTGAGATTTGGGAAGGTAGAGATAAAGTTCATTTGGAGCTGTGCACTATAACTCACATAACACATACTCACATACATCCCGCTGTAAATGCCCAAATTTCCTCCAACCAACATCTTTTCTAAATGTCAACATGTTTCTCCAGTCATTAATGACAGCAAATCTAATCGAAAACTGTTACCAGCTAAGATAAACATAAAACCATGTATATCAGGTTGTAATGTCCATGGAATAACGGAATTTCACATTATTTCCTTTGTCTTAATATCAGCATTATATATCTGCCATTGGCCACCCTGCTCTCTTCATATTGGCATTTTTTGTGAAAAAACAAATTGTCAACCACTAGTTACTAGAATGTAACTGCAGTTCTATAAGCACAAAGTAAACAAAACAATGTACTGATTTATTTATTTATACCTGTGATCATGTATGATATGTATTGCTGAACCCATTACCTCTGTGTATAAACCCAGAAATAGATGGCACACCTTGAGCCCCTTGCTTGATGCTTTTGTATGTATTTGTGCCACAACAGCTCAAACTGTCATTCTCTATAGCAGTGGAGTGTGCTGCTTTAACAAAGTGTGTTAAAGAAACGTTCCTGGCTTTCTTATTTCTAGTGAGCCTGAACTAACAAGTTTCTGTGCTCTGTGTCTGAGCAACCGTTACATAATATGCTGTGTTTACCTTTACAAAATTATCTGTGATCCGTGGTGCGTTTTGTCGCTGGACTTTACATCTGTTTGTTGTTGTGTTGTGTGAAACAAAGCCTCTTGGTTTCACAGTAATTGTTGAAGCACTAGTGATCTAATATCACATTGGTGAGAAAACTGCTGCAGAGAAGATCAGACAACTATGACATTACTGGAGTCATGGCTACATCATGACAGTGTGACTATGTGGACTGATTTCCTAACACAGAGCTGTGAGAGATTCATTCAGCATAAGGAACTTAGATTAAAGAGATAAAAGTAACTACTTAAAGCTATATTTAGCCACAGAGTGGATGATACAGGTCCTAGGCTACTCAAGTTCAACACGAAAAAAAGGTTGGCAATGTACACCATTAACTGTGCAAAAACCATCTCACTTCATCACCTGAAGCATCATCACACAATGTGCGGTTTATATTCTCAAACATCAGCAACTAGACTGATCCACTGGAAGAGCACCGCAGCACTCGAAACAAAACACCTCACAACAAACTGTGAACATCAGTATCTGCTTTTCTCCCTTTAATACATATATCATCTCGTCTGTTGCTTTTTTAAAAAGGACAAAAAACATGGTGTTGACATTATGACCACCTGTCAGTGCTCATTATGTTATGATAAGATAAGACAGACGTTAGTGATCCCACACTGGGGTAATTTACTTGTTACAGCAGCTCCAGATATAACATATCAGATAAGAAAAAAAGAAATACACATTAAATAACTAAATTAAAAAAATTATTTAGGGTTGTATATACACTATATACAGTATTTTTATACAGCTGTGATTTCAGTTAAAAAAGGATAAGAATACTAATAATAAAGAAATGACAGAGAATGAAATGGCAGGATTGAAGATTAGTGTTTATATTATAATAAATATTGATATCAACTGATGAAGAATAAATGTTTTTTGCCATATCACCCAGTCCGATTAAAGACAAGCTCATAATCTGATTACTCTCTTCATTTATGTATACATAGGCCGATATCATGTATTACGTTTAAACTGGAATATAAGTATAAAATATAAGTAGTTCTACAAACTGTAGTATTTTGGACCTCAACATGCCATATCACAAAAAAATCTACAATGATGATAGTCCAGCAAAAGAGAACTCAACACTTCATGTAATAACATCAAGCTCCTATAATACTGTAAAGACGTTGCTACCATCAGACTACAATGTTACAATGTTTATCACATCTGTTTACAGAGTTAGGAACATGTGTGGTAGCTTACTGTGACTGAGTCAGTGGACTGGCCACAGTGGGTAACCACAGATTCAAAGAATGAGTCACCAAAGGACAAGGCAACAGTGGATCTGACTTCTGATTGGCTGCAAACAAAATAAAAATTAAAAATAGAGTCTCTGTCTTGGTATTTGGACTTGTCATAGTACAAACTGATGACTGATGGTGAGAGTGCAGAACACAGTCTTCCCATCTGGTTGACACTGAGTGGAACACAGTGTTCCAGCCAGCACAATACAACAAGCTGTGTTCAGCTGCAGAGCACAGACACATCAAACACACATTGAAAGAAGAGAAGTATACATCCCTGTGAATTACTGCCAATTGTGGAGCTACAGTATCTATTGTGTGTCTGTATATCAGTCAGTATCAATGTGTGTGTAATGGTATGAGTCAGTAGTGAGCAGTCATGTGTAAAAGCACTCAGAGGACAGACTGTGGCTCACGTGTTGGCTTTGTATTCACATTAAACCCTGGCAGTGTCAGATCCATATGGAAGACCCTGGCTCAACCCTACTCTACTATCTAGGGCCAATAGCACTCCATGGCTGCAGTATCCAGCCTAGAACTAATTGTGAATGACTAATTCTTCATTAGCAAAGCAGGTCCAGTTACAATGTGTACATTTGCCAAGAGACAACTTAGTTCTTAGCGACACAGCACAGCCAAAGAGCTAATTTCTGCTAAATTTCTGCTCTGACTACTGTAAAGTGCAATTAGTTTTATAGACAACAGGGATCAACTAAGGCTAACACTTAGTGCCCTTATATCCTAGTGGATAGAGTAATGAGTTCCTCAAACACAATAAAGAATTTAGAGTAATACTGTGAGAAGGTATTGAAGCACATATGCTGTACTGCCAGTTCGCTATCTGACAATGTTTCTGGGGCCATAGTGAGCGGAAAGCAGGATTCATATTCACCATGCCGATATATGAGAGTAGTATCAATCTTCCCCAACTACCTCTCAGTAAGAGAAATTAAAGAAGTATACTTCCCATAATGTCATGCTATTCCTTTAGTTACTTAAATGAAAATGAGTATTACTCAAGCACAACAAGCAAATTCAGTGTATTTATTTGTGAGTGAGATTATTACCTGATATGGTTGGTAGGCTGAATGGTCAGACAGGAAGTCCAGCTGTCGGTCTAACAGGAATTCCACTGCGGTTACTGGTGACAACAGGCTCTTCCCCACCACTGGCTTAAATGCCTGTACACACAAAAAACACAACATGGTCAACAAAAGCACAACAACATAATAATATCGGTAAAACAGCTCGTTCCTATGAGGAATCTGATCCAAATGTCACATCAGAATCAATTTCATTTTTAAGTCATTTGTAGAATCCATCAATAATATAATGTTTTTAAGAGCTGCAGTGTTCTATGACAAAACACAAAGCAAAGGTGAGGGACAGATGAAACAGAGGAATAAAGGAAGAGAGATGATTGACTGTATAATGAGATTAGAGGGAGGGAAAGCACAAGCAGAGACGTGATGAAGTGAGACAGAGATGGATGGAGGAGAAAGAGACAGAGCAGGGGATAGAAGAAGAGCTCCAGAGTGATGAATACATTAATGAGTAGAGGAAGTCTGACAGTTCAAAGGCACTCCACTTTGATGTCGCCTCTTATACACACACACAACTCTGTTGATGTCTGTCAGCCTGCGGCCTGAGCAGTTACTGCACATACAACATAGAGAGCAGGCTGAAATATTTCCTCTTCTTATCTATGTGAATGTAGGAGTCACACTATTTAAAGCTATATTCCTCACTGTGGAGAAGTTGTCTTAAGGATTCTTTACTAGCACATCACATCACTTATTGTCTATTTTAGTGTCTGATATCAGTTAGTTAACAACAATGAACAAAGCAGTAGGCAAGTGCATGTTTGTGTGTACTTGTGCGTAGCAGGGGTTGGCCCTGCTGTGATTTACGGTTACATAACAAGGTCAGTCTGATAGCGAGATGAGGGATTAGAGGTGAGAAACATGACTGCTGTGACCTGCTCTCACACACACACACACACACACACACACACACACACACACACACACACACACACACACACACACACACATTGTGTGTGCAAGCAAAACATGATAGTGTGTATGCATGTATCTAAAAAAAAAATCCTTGCTCAAATTACTTTCTAGCCAGATTGGACTAGGTCTGTGGTCAACAAGGAAAACAAAGGAAAAGTTAGCAGGATAAATGAGGATACAGTGATTCACTAGGATTTTAAGTAATGATCCATGTCATGGCTGGCTTTATTGCACACACCTAGGAGCTTTGATAAGAAGAAGATTTTGTACACACACACACACACACACACACACACACACACACACACACACACACACACACACACACACACACACACACACACACACACACACACACACACACACACACACACATTGTGTGTGCAAGCAAAACATGATAGTGTGTATGCATGTAGCTCTATTTCTGTCTGTCTATACATATCACATTTCCAGCCCCCAGTGAAATCATGCAGCCAACAGCACAGGCCACACCACCGGATACTTTTGTTAATTTTGGAAATGATTTGTACTTATTTAAAATTGCAAATGTCCTGGTCTTGACCAGTTTCTCATTCTGGAGCATCAAGAGAACACTGCAGTGACAGTGAGTATGTCTACATGCACACTCATATCCCAGTTTTCATTATATTAAGGAAGATACAATGATTATGTAACAGAACATGAATAACGTGGTTATTCTTTTCCCTGCACATCATTCTTACATTATCCAGGTTTTTGGTTCTCTGTGGTGGTGCAGGTTGGTTTTCAACTGTTCAACCTCTTATTTCTGCACTGACTGACAACAGTTATGTACTTGTATAGCAGTAAATAGTAAATGGACCTGTACTTGTATAGCGCCTTTCTAGTCTTCGGACCACTCAAAGCCCTTTTACACCACAGGCCACATTCACCCTTTCACACACATTCACACCGAACAGAAACCGAACAAAAACACATTCATACTGATGACTCAGCATCAGGAGCAATTCGGCATTCAGTATCTTGCTACTTGATACTTCGCCACGTGGCAGGAGGAGCCAGGGAACCTTGTGATTAGTGGACAACCCGCTTTAGTTGAGGCTGAACTCAGTTTGTGTTTTGGCTATGTGGAGTGCTGCGTTTACCACAGGATTTAATCCATCTGAGTAACAGATGAGAAACAGAACACAGGACCACTGATCAAATGTATCCTCTGCATTACCAGTGTTGGACTTTCACTTTTACCATCACATTGTTAATATCAACATATGTTTTGGATAGACAGCAGATCGGATCAGAAACTTGCAGAAGATTTTTACCTTAGGGCTGAAACTAACAATTGTTTTCATAATTGATTTAACTGTTCATTTTCTAAATTAATCAATTCGTAGATTAGTCCATAAAATGTCAGAAAATTGTGAAAAATGTTGATTGCTGTTTCCAAAGCCCAAAGTGACGTCCTCAAATATCTTGTTTTGTCCACAACCCAAAGATATTCAGTTTACTGTCATAAAGTGACTAAAGAAACCAGTTTAGAGGTGTTTAGAAACTGAAATCTGAAAATTATGACTTTTTTCTTTGATTAACCAATTATCAAAATAGTTTAACTAAATTATTATGCCTCAGCATCTCAACTTCTATCTACTTCAGCCTGTATATTCGGTTTTCTCTTAACCGGGATATATCTGCATTCAAAACAACCAACTGCTGCTCCTGGTACTGGTTGTTACTGGTATCCCTGTTTCCAACAAGCAGTCCAGCTCAGTTTGGTTCAGTTTGTTACATATTAGAAAAGTCATTTTTGTGTTTTCATTGTCAGAAGTTGTGGGTAGTACCAATAGAACCACTAACTATTCCCTCCTGGTTTGTCATCTCGTTGTTGCATCTGCCTGCAGCATTTTCTCAAACAAAGCTTGTGTCCTTGTAAGCTAATAAACAACCACATACCATGTGTGCATACCGAGGAGCAAGTCAAAGCGAGGAGCAAGTGAGACAGACAGAGACAGAAAAGTGATGGCGAATGGAGCAGAGTAAAGGCTGTTATATACTCGCCGTTCCCAACCTGTAACTATTTATACTTGCGTGTGGTTGTCGCAACACTAGTTGCAGTCTTCTCCTGAACAGAGGTGTCGCAACTGAGGAAAGACTACCAACTTTGCTATTTCTACGCACTAGAAGAAGAAGAAAAAGGTAAACAATGGCAACCTCTTTTTTGATTTTCCGAATCGCTCGCAGAGGTTCTTCCAAATTTTCCGGCATATGGCCTCCTCTTTCTCGCCATGAATGTTGGCACCTCTGGGCATCTCTGTGTTCCTTATCTTATCTTCTCAAGACCATGAAAAGTCAGGGAATGTTGTTTCCCAACTGCTGGAAAAGCGAAGGGGGTTAGCCCCGAAGAAACAGTAATAATCCTGCCTAAATTTGAGAGTACTGTCTGCAGAGGAAACACAAAACAGATTTGGGGTTAAGGTACGTGGTTAGGTATGGGTTTAAAGGGTGCTTTACTCAAGTTGGAAAGGCAGCTTTTGTAACATGAACACTGTGTTTCTACTTTTTACCTTGGGATCATCGCAACAAAAGGTAAAAACTGGCTGTAACAATTGTTAAATCCTGTCTCACAGAACTATAATCCTCTGTGCAGTGTTAGGCATTTTATAAATCTTCAAACACATGGATCTGTTTCTAAAACTGGATTTCCTGAATTCTATTACATTGTCTTACCTGTACCTAACAACAACTCACCACCACCAGCACAACCCTCCTGCTTTTTTTGAATACAAGGCTGTCATCATATTTCTTTCTTCTTATTAAAATATTTTTGGGGGGCTTTTGCCTTTAATTGACAGGACAGCTCGAGACAAACAGGAAAGGGGAAAACAGAGAGGGGATGACATGCAGCAAAGCGCCAGGTCTGACTCAAACCCATGGCTGCAGCAGGGACTCAGTCTTTGTCCATGGAGCGCCAGCTCTACCAGGTGAGCTATCAGGGCTACTCGGGAAAATGATGTGAGACTAAATTAAAAGAGAGCAGCTACTCATGGATCTTGTGGTGTAACCGTTTCTGTCAACTGCTGTTTCTGAGATCTAAAAAAAAAATCCTTGCTCAAATTACTTTCTAGCCAGATTGGACTAGGTCTGTGGTCAACAAGGAAAACAAAGGAAAAGTTAGCAGGATAAATGAGGATACAGTGATTCACTAGGATTTTAAGTAATGATCCATGTCATGGCTGGCTTTATTGCACACACACACACACACACCTAGGACCTTTGATAAGAAGAAGATTTTGTACACACACACACACACACACACACACACACACACACACACACACACACACACACACACACACACACACACACACACACACACACACACACACACACACACACACACACACACACACACACACAAAATTGGGTCACATCTGCCACAGTGTGCCAGGAAAAAGCATTCTGTCACTGCATATTTCCAGACAGGCAGCAGGAGAGTGCATGAGCAGAGGAGAGACACGTTCACTTACTGTCAATAAACAACACACACTGAAACCAGTCAACCTACATAGAACAAGATGGACATGAGAAACGCCGTTCTGAGAAAGCAGATCAGTCTCCATGAACACACAACACATCCTCCTGTCTTGTGTGTGTATGTGTGTATGGATATGTGTGTGTGTGTGTGTGTGTGTGTGTGTGTGTTTCAAATAATTGAGAAGGAAAAGTGTAGCACAATGTAAAGAAGATGAAGAGGGGATGATGGAACTCATGTGTCACCAAGTGACCTACAGACAAAGCGTTGCCATCCAGCAGGCCATTATCTGATGAAGGTCAGAGAGACACAGACAGATAATGAGAGAGTTATTTTTGAATCAGTCTGGATGTTTTCTTTTAAAGAAACATGGTAATGGTAAATGGACCTGTACATGTATAGCGCCTTTCTAGTCTTCCAACCACTCAAAGGTCGGAAGACCTACTCACCCTTTCACACACATTTCACTCAGCAATGGCAAAGTCCATCGAACAGAAACTAACTCATTCATACACATTCACACACATAGATGCACAGCATTGGGAGCAATTCAGGGTTCAGTATCTTGCTCAAGGATACTTCGACATGTGGCGGCAGGAGGTGTTCACCCAGGATGTAAGAACATCTTGGGTTAACACTAGGGCTGGGTATCGTTTAA